GTTGCACCCGCTCATTTTGTTCTGCAAAGTAGCGGTGACGGCCGTACGCAGGCACATGACGACACGAGACCACGCGGACAAAACTGGAAACTGGGACACCGAGAGTGTTGCCGCGTTGTCGAACGTGACAGGTCGTTTTATGTTGTGCTTGTGCCTACATCTCGTTCTTTTACACCGCCCCTCTGCCTCCTCCTTGTATCATATCAGGACAAGGGTCGAGATAATAAAAAAGGGCCGGATGTCGAAACAGGACGGAGCAGGCCCAGAAACAATACAAAAGCAAAACGAGAAACATGATGTGCTCTCAAACTCTCTCTTCTGGACTCGTCGGGGCTCAACAACCAAGAGTACGTACGGATGTGAAAACGACGGTCTGGAAAAATGTGACAGACGCAATTGCTTGGTTCGCGAGGGAGGGAGCTGAGATGGGCTTGTGCTCGGTGGATGTTGCACGGCAGACGGCAGAGGTCGAAAGGGAGAGACGGAAGAGGCTGGGAGGGTGTGAAGAATGAAACGAGAGGGACAGAGGGCGTCAGAGAAAGGGAGAGAGGACAGAAAGAGAAGCGACAAGGAAAAGAGCCGAGACGCAATAAGCCGGGAGAGGACGAACCGAAGAGGCACACAGAGTCTAAACAAAACGCCAGCCAGAGATGGGTCCGAGACGGGGCGCCACAAGATCGAGTCTCCGTGCTCCCCGGCAGTGCCTTGGAGTTTGATTGGGTCGTGGGTGTTTATGTCCTTTGTTTTCGGGTTGTCTTGGCCCTACAATGTCATGATATTTGCATTTTCGGACCCGAGCGATGGAGCGGAAGATGGACGTGATAAAAAGAAGAAGAAAAGCCAAGTCGGAGACTACAGCATCCATAGAAACCTTGCCATCTTTTCGGACTCTCAATGTGATGCCCGGAATCGACAGCGGAAAGACAAGAACCAGGAGAGCTGGCGCACGAAATGGTATGCATCGACCCTCTTCCGCCGCGGACCAAGGCATTCCTGCCATGCAAGGAGCCCTGTGTGCAGTTGCGTGCGTGTCGGCGTGCGTGTCGGCGTGCGTGCCTTTGTGTCTTTGTGTCGTGTTGTCTTGGTGTCTTTGGGTGCACCTGTGTTCTGTGCTTTGTGCAGAGGCATGCTTGTGGCTACATATGATGAGCGTTTTATTACGAGCCTGTTCTTCCTTGGTCTCGCCTGACCTCCTGCACGGTGCCGGGCGCCGACATGTGACGAGCCAGTCGGATAGCCGCCTTTGGGGCTTGTGGTGGTACATCATGTAGTGGTCATCGTGGCAGCGGAGGCTGCTCAGGCGGCCTCGACTGGGTTCTCTGAGTTATTGGGTTGAGTTTTGTGCAGAGGATTGATTTTGACTTGTCTTGGATGGCTTTTTTTCCCTTTTAAAACTCTCAAATTCTCAACTTTGTAGCTCTCTTAAACTCTCTCAACCTTCTCAACACCCCCCGACCCTTGATCTGGCTCGCGGTTCTGCCCTCCATTCCATACCCCGCCTGCCTCGTCCCTCGTCTGCCGTGATTTACTAATATGTGCGTCGTTAAGGTGCTTGTTCACTTGATGCGGGGGCGAGCCGCCGCTTTGGCGACAATGGAAATGCAGGTCATATCCCCCAAAAAACAATAGACTGAAAAACTGGGATGTGTCGGGGTGCTGTCGTACTAGTAAGACGCATTACAATGTGCGAGTACGTCGTACCGTATGGGAGGGTGTTCATGCCATCCCGCACCAAGCCCGGACAAGGGTCTGTGCACGGTTTATGCACCGGGAGAGGGCAAACGAATGGACGCCGAAGCGAGTGCAGAGGACCAGGGCAGACGGGGGGATGCAGCGTAGTATTGTCGTTTTGCTGGCAGCTTTACAACATAATTACGACGTACAGAATATGTGATTGTTGGATGTGCTGGGCTGGGCTTGGAATTGTGTCCCCAACGGCCTATTCTGCATTCTGATCGGCAAAGAACGTTGTAATGGACGCAACGCGATCCCGAATCACCGCCTGTGCGGCTGTCAAAATACGATGGGGCCTTGTATCGCCAGCCCCAGGAGCCAAGTCATTTTACCATCACGGGTGCTTGTCGATCATACTCGCCTGTTTATTAGTTTATGTACGTCGAACGTCGAACGTCGTACGTCGTACATCGTACATCGTACATCGTACATACTTGGATGATAGTATTCCGGTTGCGTCTTCGTGTTGGCGGCTGACCAGAAATGGCCAACAGGGCTGACCAGGAGGGGGAGAGCTTCCCGTTGCTGTCCCGCCCTTGTTCTTGTTCCGGGGAATGTGAGGGAATATGAGCAGAGGACAACGGAAGGAGAACGGGCGCTTGTGTACAAATTAATACCGCATCGTCGTATACGGTCTGGTTTGAAGGATATGCGGAAACACAAACCATGTTGTCGGCAAAGGACTTCGCCACTTGCAAGTCCAGCTGGCTCGGCATACGAGTTTTGTTTGGCGCATAGGGCAATGTGCATGGCGCATGGTGCATGGCGCATGGACCAGGCTGGGGGGACGTCTGCCCCGGGAAATGGAGGGTGGTTCATTAAGACAAAAAAGATGCATAAAAAGATGCTCCCTCGCCGGACGTTTTGGGATGCTTGTAAAGGTGTACTCCTCTTGGCCTCCGCTCTGGGCGCTGCAAGTAAGCGATATGAAATTGAAGCGGTCCACACAACGTACCTCCGCACTTTTGTTGACGTCCGTCGAGTGCGAGAAGTATGGTGTCGCGAGAGCACAGGGGCTTGCAAAAACGGGACCAAGGAAGAAAATGCATAATGATCGGCTTCACAGTCCCGAGCGCACAGATACGGACGAGCGGGTGTCACGGCCTCTTTGAAATTATTTCAAAGTGATTCGGCTGTATATCCTGGTCGGCGAAGTTGACGCGCAAAAAAGAAAAGACCTTGAAAGGCCTTGAAAGACCTTGAAATAACAAAAAAAAAAAAAAGGAAGAAACAGCAAGGCTCCCAAAAGCGACCGGCGAGCAATACGAGAGCCCGAGATTGTGCAAAGGACGGCGGCAGCCAGATACAGATCATGCAAGGGAGCATGTGAAGCGAGAAAAAGGCAGACGAAAGGGAGAAACAGGACAAAAATAGCAGCATACAAAGGGAAAAAAAGAAAAAAAAAAATCAAAACCAAGTCAAGTCAATACCACCAAGTGTTCATTTCAAAGGAGTCTTCCGTTCCCATCGTCCTCATGTTGCACATGAACACAAACGAGAGAGACTCCAACGGCAGACAGCAATATGGCGCGATGAGGCTGCGCCACAAAAGGCCGGACCCGGTCGCACACGGCGTGTTTGTGGACAAACATGGGTAGATTGATCTACCCAGAAACAGATGTGAGGGTGACGATGTTTTGGATGTTTTACCGCAGGGCAGAGATCTGGTGCCTTGTACCCTGCACGGGGAACTTTTGAGGTGGATGACTATAATGTATGAAGTCGAAATGGCATCGAATGGGCCGAAAAAAAAGGGGGGGGGGGGAAACAACGGAGAGAATAAAACGATTGCACCTGCAACAAGCCACTTGCCGTCGTCCGTCATGCACAATCGATTCGACAGCGCAGAGACACAAGGCAGCGTGCACAGAAGCCGGCTATGGCGCAAAATCCTTGGTTCCTGCGGGGAAGCGCCTGCATGTCTTTGTCGTGTCTTCGTCCTTTGCATGCTCTTCGTCGCCCTTGATTCCCACCTTTGTATTTTTACTATTTCGGCCGAGCCATCTTTGTCACCGAGCATCGGCATCCTGGCATCCTGCATGACAGTGTCGTCGTTGTCGTCGTTGTCTTGTCGCCGAGTTCGATTCCCCAGGAACTGTTTTCGGAAGCCCGGCAGAACGAGCGGCAGACAATACGACATGCTTCAGTACTGGAAAAAAGGACGGAAAGTTCAGACGGCCCTTGTGGAGCGCAGAGGACAGGTCTTGACTACGACACACTCTGTACACGATGCAGGGCCTGTAAAACGGAGCAGAGGTGGCGATGAAGAGGTGGCGGTGTGCGGCGTTGAGTGGAACGAAAAAGGAGGTTATTCAAACAAAAAAAGAGTTCATTCCCGGAACATAAAAAGACACCGTGGTCGATCAGGACACCGAAAGAGCCACAGTCTCTCGTCCAGGTCTTGATGAAAAGCTCCGCGAGAGGCGCCGTGGCGTCGCATCACGGCCACATCTGTCTTTTCTCAGTACGGGGACGTGGCCACCGTTCCCCGCCAGCACTGCTACGCTGTGGATGCATTGCTGTGTGCTGCGCCGTGCGCACAGCGTCACAGTTGCATCGTATTGCCGGCCAGGGGTGGAGAGGGGGGGGCACCTGGCCCGGTTCCCGAGTTTGTCAGAATCCCAGCGAAACCAAAGAGCCAACAAAACCGACGGGGAAATTTAGAGAGTGCCTTATTTTACGTCTGGGTTGAGTGTCGTTCCATTCGCTGGCTCGACTTGTATGGACGAGCAAAGAAGCTGCTGTCAAGCGCGGCAAACTAGGCAATGGACAAGACAGGAAGACCAGACTTGCTTACCACTGGCTCATATTCGCAGGCGGACGGCATCTTGATATTGGGTCCAAAGGAGGTAGATCGTACAAGATACAGAAGAGGAAAAAGGAAAGGAAAAGAAGAAAGGAAGAAAAAGAAACAAGTAGAAAAACAAGACCGTCTCCGCCATCGACTGCGTGCAAATCAACCACCAAAGCGAACTAGCGGGCACTTGTGACGACCAGAAGTGAAACAATATTGTCCACCCGCGGACACAGAAACAAGACGAAGACACAGCTAGTCCATTTCGGGCCGTGCAGACTTGCGGAGGCATAGCACGTTTGCTTTTTTATCTGCAAACGAGGGCAAAACGATGGGCAAAACGACTCGTAGTCGTGTTTCTGTTTCTGTTTCTGTTTTTGTTTTTGTTTTTGTTTTTGTTTTTGTTTCTGTCTTGCTTTTCTTTTTCTTTATTCTTTCGTCTCCTCTTTCTTTTTGCTGCCATTTTCGTCACCTACTCCCAGCACATCACCGCCACCTCTCGTCTCGGCACCACTCCTTTGGTTGTGTGGCTCTGGCCTCGTGGCGGCTGGCCGTGGCGGCTGGCCTGGCCCTTGACCAGGGGTACTATGGCGTGTCGAGGATGTCGAAATGGACCAAATGGACGACGTGCAGGACGGGCATCGCATGCCCTCGTCGTATCACACCGAAAATGGGGCACGAGGTGAGCTACGTCCAGCAGTTGTGCGGCCCTTTGCCGCCCTGGCCTTACATGTTACCAGGAAAGTTATCTGCCCGTCTTTTTGTTTCTGGACCGTCATGAACGTGGTACCGTCGGTGGCGCTTTTGGCGTCCACTATCACCTGTGGCAGAAGCGTGGCCGCCACAAGATCAGGCCAGTTCAGGGCAAGCGCCATGTAGCGGATCGGCCAAGGGCTGGGAAGGGCTGGGAAGGGCCAGGCCTGCTTTGAAGATGGTTGCTGTTTTGCTCCCCTTCCGTACGTCGGACACTCTTTTTGGTCGTGTTTTGTTTTCTCCTTCCTGCTCCACATCGTGTCCACATTGTCACATTGTCACATTGTCCACCTTTCCACTTCACCGTTGACGCTAGCACCTGAGAACTGAGACATGGTCCTCCGGTGGATTCTCTCCCTTGGTTTACGACGTACCCGTTTTCGTATCCTTTCTCCCCGGAATATCCCACCGCTGGGTGCAGGCCAGACGCCGCCTTACATCGTACGCCTTTGGAGCATTCCTGCCTCCCTTGTCGTGTAGTTTGGCGCATTTATGCATCCGGAGTACATATATACATATACATATATACATATATATATGGTATTTACCGTGCATCCTTTCCGCCTTTCCGCCTTCCACCTTTCCGGCATACAACACAGGCACATATCCCTTCAGATGCATGCAATCCATAGTATTCCACTGGGAGGTCGTACTCCGTCTTGACTCCGGACTCCGTATATTGCTTTTCAGCTTGTCACACCTTATGCTGTCCCGTTTGCTGTCCTTGGCGCACAGGGCCACTACCGAGAGCGGCTCAGTATCTTATGGTATTTTGTATTACGGCATATCTCCCTAGCAGTGCACTTTGCAACCCTCCATCACACCGTCTTCAGCCAAACGGGCCAAACGCGGATCGGGACTTCAACTAGCCCAGCTGACTTGAACATATTATTGGCCTCATATGGAATTGGTATAAAGGTAAAGTATGAGAAGAAGAATCAAAAAAAAAAAAAAAAACCTACCGTAGTGCCATAAAACCGGAGCACGGGCGATGGGCCTCAGACGGAGGACTCCGCTGATCCCTGTGGGTCGTATTGCACTGACACGGAGGTATGTGTAAGATATATGCTTGTCGTAGAGGAAATGTGCAGTGCATGTGGACCTGCACGCTGATTGCAACTGTCACAGTCTTGCGCTCGTCCCGCGTTCGTCCAGCAATCTGTCTTGGGTCCAGGTCTTCGTCGCTGCGTTGCTACCCTTCCCGCCTTTTTCGCTTGGATTCTACCTCGTTTTTCTCTGGAGCAGACTGTAGACGTGTTTAGGTTCTGATTCCTCCCATGACTTTCCTTTGTGCTGGTGCTTGGTATTCAATGCAATAATGCAATGCGACCCGGACGACGTCGAGTTGTTGCTCGCCATTTTATCGTCTTCAATGTCTCCTGTTCACGGTCGACTGTTGCAGCATGTTGCATCCTCGCTGGAGCACTGGTCAGCCCTCGAAGTGTAGACAACGAAAACAATCTCCCGTCGTAAATTTCTTCAATGGGCATTCTCGGGCAACGGAACATGGATCATGGCTGCCGGCTGGGGCTGTCACTGACCACACTCCCACATTGGGAAATCACAGGGGGGATCGCCGAAAACAAATAAGCGATGTCCTTGTGGTGACGTGAAAATCGTGAAGATAAATAAAATAATAAAAATAATAAAAGTAAATAAAATAAATAAACGAAATAAAAAGCTCAGCTGCAAAATACACGCTTGGCAGCCAATATTACTACTTCTCTCTCTCCTCTCCCGGCTTGTCTTCTTGGTCTCCTCCTATTGCTCTCCCCCCTCCTTGACGACGTAATTACGTCTTGTTCGTCGTCAATGCGTTCCGCATCCTCATTCGCTCTCTCACAATAAGCTTTCAACAAGCTTTTATATTTTTTTATTTTTATTTTTTTATTTATTATTTTTCAGCCGGCCACCTGTCAACCCGCCCATCACCTCCACGTCATTTCGTCACCAAGCTTTTTTGGCACTTGTGTTTTTGGAGGGTGGCCGGCTTTTGGTTAAAGCACTGCCTGTGCGTGCGCAAGTCCCCAGGCAATCCTTCACTACGGTTGCAACCCCTTGTATCAAGCAATCCCGCCAACACGGGACAGACCCCCGACAGCAAAAAGAAACTACGGAGAGCCTGAAGGGCATAAAGCGTCTGATATAGGGAGGGATAGGAGCTGGACAGGCCGGACAAGAATGAATGGGTGTGGACAAGCCACTGTATTTTCCGTCACTTGGACCGCACATGTTTCCCTGCTCGTACGCTGTATATTTGACGAGGAAACAGAAACCACGATACCAAGCAAACCTCCACAGGCCAGAAGAGCATGGATATGCGCGGGGGAAAAAGGCAGCAAAAGTATCTTACATCACGGCTCGTGTTCCGAGAAACAAGAACAACGCCAACAAGTGTGCTTATCACCTGACGTCGCAGTGGCATGCCTACGTTCCATTGACAGCCCAAAAAGAAAAAGGACACGGAGGAATACCCGGAGTTTTGTCAGTTCATGCTAGCCCATCTCGTCTCCTGCACATCGGCGATGGGGAGGACAGGAGGACAGCAAAGTGCATCGCCTCAAAATATGTCTTGGGATAATTCGTACAAAGTACTCAATCCCTTTGGCCGCGCGAGTCGACGGTCCAGCACAATGGGCCCTGCTGCACTGACCCTGCCGAGCGGCAGCGAACGCAGACGAAGGCAATGCGCAGGTGCTATCCACAGTTATGCGTGGAAATGCGCTCCGTAGTGGTGGTAGTTGTCAGTACGGGCTGATCTTATTTTATCTTTTTTATTTATTTTTGTACATGTACGGAGGAATCCCTTCCCGCCCGCTCTGCATTCTGGTTCGCCTGCCCCAGAGGAGCCAGGGAGCGGAGCCAGAGAGCCAGAATCTTGACAGTGTCGCCCTCGTCGCCTCGTCCCCTCGTCACCTCGTCACCTCCCGTCCCTCCCCAAACTTGACAGAAGTGGAGAGCCCTGCGACAGGGATCAGGGATTGACAAGTAGCGGGAGTTTGCGTTCAGAAACCAGGCCCGGCGCTCGAAACACGTTGTAAGGAGGCTGGAGGGAAAGAGGAGGGCGGACACTGGGTGACAGGGGTCTGGGGCTGACGCAGGGGAAGGACGACGTCGTCACGTCAAGACGTCGAAAAAAGCAAAAAGAGAAAGGAAGTGGGTTCTGTACGAATAAATGTCGAGACTACGCTCCGTTTCCACGCTCCATACTTGAGCCACAGCTTCACGGGCCAGAAATAGAAGATGGATACGTTGGGAAGGATGCCAACTCCCGCAAGAAAATAAAAAGGCGTTCACAAAAGGAGTAACCCAAAAGGGAGGGAGACGGGGGGACGAGTAAAACAAAACGAAAAGACGCTTCAAAACTGAAGACAACTCACGCCCGATCGACAGATGCTGATCATTACACATACCCATCCTTTTCTCCTTGGCCGTTGTCTGCCTCTTTCCCCTCTTTTCTTCGTCTCGGAGCACTCCGTCAAACACGCTAGAGCTAGAGTCGAGCGAACGGTCCGGCCCCTGGCTTCTTCCCCTTTCCTCGTGAGCGATTCTCCATCACTGCCACCCCCCCGTCGTTCATAACCGTGAGCAAGCCGCTCTCCGCTCGATGGGCCGAGGGTGTATTTCCACTTTCCGACTGGTCTGTCCTGCACGTTTTCCAACCTTGGGGAGTTGCTGTTTCCATGTTCTGTCCGGTTCTCTGTTCCCTTTCCTTTTTCTTGTTTTTGTTTTTGTGCCTTTTTGTCGCCTCAGCCGGATCATATGGAAGACAGAGATAGCTCCACACACACACACACACTGATTGCTGGCGACATGCATGACCTGCATAGATGAGAATGGGTCTTGAATGTGGATGGGACCAAGTTTTATGGCGTTGCACTTGTGAAAACTAGTGGAATAGTGCTCCATAAATCGTATGAAAACGGAATCACGACACAACATTACATTTGATGTTGAGTATCCAGTCCACCTTCCAACCCAATCTCTGTGCGTTGTGTCACAGGCCCGAGCCATGGCAACCCAAACCAAAACTCACGTCCCAACACCCAGGCTGCAGGCGCGTGCGGCGCATCTATCGGATCGCAGGCGGCAAAACTGCGGCGGCTCGTTCCTCCTCGTATGTTGTGCTGTATTCTGTACTTTGTACGCCGAGCGGTTATGATTGTGGGTGTGCCATTTGTCCAATCCACCAATCTCGTCTAGCACCTCTCTCACCTCACCCGCGCTCCGTGCTCCATGTCCTCGCATGACGGATGGCAGCTCTCGGCCCGTGCTGCTGTCTATTTTCTTTCTTCGTATTTGTCTATTTCCTCAAACCCCTCCCGCCCTTGCTCCATCCTCCCTCCTCCCTCCTCCATCCTGTCCTCGCTCGGGATAGGGTTGCATACGACGTGCTCTGCCTCCTGCGCCATCCTGCATGCATAGCATCGCTGCTGTATCCCTACTGCATCCTCGCCCGGCACGCCAACGAACGCTTCGGCGTCGATGCCTGCAAACCGACGAACCATAATTTGTGCAAGTGTATTTCGTACATCGTACGATGCTTTCTTCTCGCTTGCCTCGCTTGTCACGTCTTCCTCACCTTCCCCCTATCTATGTATATTACCTGCTGATGTCGGCGTCTGGATGCTGTCAGCAAACCCCCTTTCTATCTTGTCCAAGGCCCTTCTGATCCTGGTTTACCCACTCACACTTGGGCCCGTAGACGCAGTAACCGCTGCAGAGCAGAAATCGCACTTTCACGGTGAGGGTCTTGCATGTGCCGGTTCACTTTACCCATTCTCTTCAGCAAAACGGCCAGACTCCTTGTCTCTTTTTACCTTGGGCGTCTCCCGCAAACATTGCCTCCCTTTTTTTGCTTTGGCAAATGCGCTATTGCACAACTGCACTACTGCACCTCATCCTTTTTCAACATTTTTCGAGCACGTTCCACACACCAATGCAACAAACCCCTGCCCAACTCGCTGCTTTCCTCTGCTCTTTCACCCATTTCATAACCCTTGACTTGTTCGCGTCTGTCCCGCAAACACGGCCACTTGAGCCCTGGTCGTTTACCCTTGTTGCTCATGCTCTTGCATCCCTTGCAGGCCCTGGCCCTCTTCTTTACTCTCACCGGTCATTCTAGCCGAGCCAGCGCGAAAGCAGGGTCTTGAGTGAAAAAAAAAAGAAAAAAAAAGAAAAAAAAAGAAAAAAAAGAAAAAAAAAAAAAAAAGAAAGCAGAGCCGTGACAGACAGTGGAAGCCCGCGGACATACAGGGGGTTGACTGCAACCTTGCGAGGGGTCTGATTCTTTTTTAAACTGTTACATGTTTGTGCCCTTGCTTCCAGCGTACGTCGTATCGTCTTTTCTGTCGTCAAAATGCCATCTGCCAGACGGAATACGGAGTACTACGTCGTACACACACTAGACCAAGCACGTTGTTGAAAACAGCCACAAGCCACAAAGTGCCTTCTTGCAAGATACAGTATTTCGTACTTTGTATGTTTTTCTTTTTGTTACCCGACCGAGTCAAGCTTTGCATGCGTAATCTGCAACCCCGTGTAGCCAGCCTCTTTTTCTTCTTTAGGACCTCTTCCGAGTCCTAATGGCAGCCTCTGTCTTTTTGCTGCATCTCCTAGGCCTCTTGGCAGTTCCTCCCCTTCCTCTTCCTCCTCCGATTCCTCCACTTCCTCTTCTTCCTCTTCCTAGTTTCTTTTGGCTTTCTTTTCCTCTTCGCCTCCCGGCATTCTTTCTCTCGCCAACTTCCGCTTCCACTTCCACCCACTACCGCCACCGGAACTAGAAAAATTCTCACACAATCCCTGCAAAATACGCTCATGATCACCCCTCCCCCCCCGGCGCACATTGTGCTCTGTGTGCTGCATACTTCGTAGCCTGCAGCCTGTAGCCTGCATCCGGTGGAGTGAAACCCATCCTCTTCGGCGGTTGCCGTGTCTTCCTTGTCCACGTTGTGTCTGTTAGCTCTTCCGATTGTAAGTCATAATCGTAAGCTTCTCTCACTCCCGTTTGCTTATTTACTTTTTTTCTTTCCTTGTTTTTTTATAAAATAATATAATTCGCCTCCCCCTCCACTCCTCCTCCTCCTCCTCCTCCACCTGACCCAAACGACAAGAAATGATGGTGTCGAACTGTGAAACATTGCCCTGTGCCGGGCCTGATCGACGAACCGCCTATTTCGTGTTTGCCGCTGCGCAAACTCGCGGGCGGACGAGAGCCTAAAGACTGGTCTGGCAGGCGAGCAAGCGAAGAAGGCAAGACAAGGCAAGGCAATGCAAGCGCAGCCCGCAGCAGAACCAGACAAGCACAAACTCTGGTAATGGGGAGCCGACATGGCGATCAAAAATAAATAAAACTACGTCAAGGGCCCGGCGACGATTTGGCAATTTCGAACGGCTCACGATGACCGCAGCAGAAACAAGCAGAAACAAGCAGAAACACCAGAACCAGCCACGTTCCGACTGAGGCTCGGAAAACATGAGAGACACAGATCGTGAGAACACAAACAGAAAACAGAAAACAGAAACAGAAACGAAACCAGAGCACTCCGTAGATCGCGGCCGAGACGGCCACGTCCACACAACGAGCAACCTCGGCACCCCGTCTACTGTGGCGTGGGCGACTGGAGAACCAAAAGCGAGCCACTGACAAAACAAGAGGGGACGGAGGGTGCGTTAGAAAGAAAGAAAGCCGACCAGGGGGGAGTGTGACTGCGTTCCTTGCACAAGGGAACGGTGTGTTGTTTCTGGTGTTGCGGACGTGTGGGTGTGGACAAGACGACGGGAATTAGAATAGACACGGCGGGGGGGGAGGTAAAACGACCTGCAAAATACAGAAACAGAAAAAGAAACAGAGGAAAAAGAAAAAGGTTAAAAGATAAAAAAGGAACAAGGAACAAGGAACAAGGAACAAGGAACAAGGAACAAAAAGGGAAATCAACAAAGACTGACAGGGGTCCATCCATGTAGACCAAAAGGGCCTTGCCGGCAATCCTTTTTACTTTTTATATCAGACAGCCCTGCTCCAACAAGGAGACAAGGAGACAAGAGGACGACAAGAGGACGACAAGAGGACGCAAGGTTTGTTGAAGACGGCACATCACGACGACAGATGGTCACAAAAGAGGAAAAAGGAGAAAAGAAGCAAAAGACAACGACAAGAGCACCACCGCACTCTTGTCTCCCCTACGCAACTCCCACCTTACTCGCACTTCACTACCACCTCAGCCCTCTGCTTGTCCTCCACTCTTGACTCTGCCCCGAGAGGCCGAATTGGGGACGATTGAAAGGAACGGCAATACAAAGTTGAGAGTCAAAAGCCAGAGCCAAAAGCCAGAGCCAAAAGCCACAAAGACAAACTTCCGGGACGAGCAATTCAAATCTGCAGCCTGGCCTGAGCTGCATGAAAAAGTAACGCAGCACAGCACACCAACTCCAATACGGAGGACACGCACCCACTCGACAACGCAACGCAACACTGCACTGCACACCTTGCAGGCACACATGTTCACACGCATTCGCACACATACAGACACAAAAGACAAAAGGACAGAAGGCTGCAGGCGGAAGCCGAAAGGCGAAAGGCGACGGCGACAGGCAGAACAACAGCCTGTCGGCATTCTACCAGCCCCAATCTCTCACTCTGTCTACCCTCTCCCGCAATCACTGACTATTTCGTGCGGTGCTCTCAGCTCAGACTGCCCTCACGTCTGTCACACTCACCCTCTCCTCGCCATTACATACGCCAGCAAATACTCCTTCACGCCCACCCCATCTCCCCCGTCTTGCTCTCCTCTCCTTGCACGCTGTGCATCCGCCGCCCCCCTTGTGCTTGCACAAAATCACGATACGCTCCTAGCAACAAAGCCGGGCAGGGACAGAGGTAAAGAAAACGAGTCGTCGTCGTCATCCACCGTTGTTGTGGGCAATGGAGGTCGGCCGGCCCTGTCTTTTGTTTCCTTGTTTTCCATCTTGATTTTATTCTCTTGCATGTCCCATCTTGATTGTTTTTTCAGTCTTGTTTTGTCGTGGACCAATTCGGTTATCGAGTTCTCCCACCTCCGGATATTTGACATTTTGTTTTTACCTTGCATATTTTACCATTTCCATTTTCCCATTATTCTCCGCATTATTTTTTTTTCGCTCTGGCCATTACTCTGTCTATCCAAACTACTATTCGGTCTGCTCATCCTCTTGTTTTTGTCGTTTCCCCTTCCCTCTCCTCTCCTCTCCTCCCCCCCCCTCCCCTCCTCCTCACTCCACATCGCCTCGCGATGGCCACATCGTTGCACAACTACCCGCGGTCACCCAACTCGTCCACACGCTCGTTTGACTCCTCGTCTGTCGCCTCGCCGTCCGCCACCTCGCCGCGGCTGCTGCCCGCCTTGCACGGACGATTCAACACGAGTGGCAGTGGCACTGGCACCGGCAGCGGTAGCGGCAGCATCCCAAGCACACGGTCAGGATCGCTGGCCTTGTCCGACGGGCGCCCGCCGACGCGAGGACTGGGCTTCACGGGAACACGACCACCACCAGCCTTTGCACCCGCCTGGTTGGGACTGCCTGGAGCAACCGCAACGCAACAGGGCGTCGGCGTCCTACCTGGCGGCGTCGCCAGCCGTCTGCCCGCCTTGCACGAGCGCGATCGCAGCCACAGCAACCAACACGGCCACCAGCAGCCGCGGCCGCACGACACGCCCTACGGCTACCGACACAGCCACGACCACCACCAGAGTCACCCGTTGTACGGCCACGAGGCGCACGAGCAGCACACGTACGACCAGCACACGTACGAGCACCAGCACCACCATCACCACCATCACCACCATCACGACCCAAACACCAACCCGCCACGGCCAAACGCCTTCTCGCACTCGCACTCCCATTCCCACGCGCACACCCACCCCTACTCGTACTCCAGCATGGGCCGCGACGACTCGCTGCCGCCGACCGACTCCCTGGCCAGCACGCCGGGGCCGGGCTACATTGCCTTGCCGCCGCTGCACCATGGCGGCGGTGGCGGGGGCGGCCGCGGAGGCAGCGCAACAACCGCAGCAGCAGCACCCCCACCACCGCCACCAGCATCGACATCCATGGGCGGTCCTCAACATCCTCTACCACCATCAGTACCTTATAATAGCAGCTTAGCAGCCGCCCACCACCACCAACAACAACAGCAGCAACAGCAACAGCAGCAGCTACAGCATCAACAACAACAGCATCAACAACAACAGCATCAACAACAGCATCAACAACAGCATCAACAACAACAGCATCAACAACAACAGCATCAACAACAACAACATCAACATCAGCAACAGCACGCAGCCAAGCGCGCGTACCGCCAGCGCCGCAAAGACCCCAGCTGCGACGCCTGCCGCGAACGCAAAGTCAAGTGCGACGCCACCGAAACGACCAGCTGCTCCGAGTGCTCCAACCGCCAGGTCAAGTGCCAGTTCACCAAGGAGACCAACCGCCGCATGTCGTCCATCAAGCAGATGCAAGACATGGAGCGCCAGCTGGACCGGCTGCGGCGCGAGAACGGCGGGCTGCGGCGCATTTTGCAGGAAAGCCGGGCGCAGGGCGGTGCCACTGGTGGTGCCACTGGTGGTGCCGTCGCCAGTGGAAGTGGGTCTGTGTCTGTGGCCGGGTCCGGGTCCGGAAGTGGGCCGACGCCGAAACGGGAAGGAACGGACGGCCCGGTCCGGGCGGACCTAGATTCGGACACACCCATGGGCGACCACAGCGCCATGGAGGACGACGACTACTACGAACACCAGCCGCGCCACCTTTCGCACGTGCCGCACCTCCAGCATCCAGCGCACAGCAGCCGTCAAATCCTCCCCTTGTTGCCGATCCCGGACATCGGCTCGAATCCACCACGGCGGCATCGGCGGACACCGCGGCTCTTGCCGTTTTCGGCTTCCACAAGACAGCCACCATCCGCCTATCCCTATCCGTCCTCGACGTTTGCTGGCAGCAGCGGTGGCAGCAGTGGCGGCAGCGCACCACAGCCGCTCTTTGACCTCGGACGGGCGCGCGCCAACGTGCGCATGTTTGCGCGCGGCCTCTGGGCGCCACCGGCGACGGCACTGACACACGCATCACAGACACAGCCGTCTCTCACGACGACGGCGACGAGCAATCTTCCTGAACTGCCTCCGCGCGACATTGTCGACAACCTACTGCACGCCTACTATGCCTCGATACATACCATGCTGCCCATGGTCCATTGGCCGACGTTCCAGCGGCAGGTGGACGAACTGTACCGGACGGGCCCCGGCCCCGAAACGCCGCCCTCGTTTGTCGCCCTTTTCTTTGCTGTGCTTGCGGTCGGCGGTTTGTTTAGCACGTACTTTGTCGCCGCGCCCACGCCGTCATTTACCGCCGTCCACCTCGCCGAGGCCGCGCGTACTCTGATCGATCCGTGGACGATGACCGCGTCGGTGACGCCGACACTGGACGATGTCCGCACGCTGCTCCTGCTTGCCATCTTCCTCAACGAGTCCAACCTCAAGTCGGCCGCTTGGACGTGGCTGGCGAGCGCTGTGCGCATCGCCCAGGCCATGGGGCTGTACGTGGCGCCGGCCGACGGCAGCGTCGAGGGCCTGGAGTCCGAAATACGCAGCCGTGTCTGGTGGTCCCTGTATGTCGTGGACCGTACGATGGCGCTCGACGCAGGGAACCGACCCGCGCTCATCCAGGACGACGACTGCGACGTCGCTCTGCCGACAGACGACGGCACGGGCGACCCGTCGACGCATCCGCAGACCATGCTGGCCGTCTTGGATGTCGTGCGGGCCTACACGGCCTTGGGGCGACTGCTCACCGCCACTTCGTCGTCCGTGTCTCCTGTTGCCGGAAACGACGGCAGCGGCCTGCCCCCCTCTTCGCCTCTCTCGACACCCTCGCCGTCTCCGTCCTTTGCCGTTCCAGGTGCAGCAGCAGCGTCCGCCGGTTCTGACGCACATATCCCCGCAACCCATTTGGCCACCTTCGACCAGCACTTTGCTGCCTGTCTGCGCGTGTTCCCGGCCGTCTGCGACCCGGCCGTCAGCCACTATGCGGACGTACAGCCGCCGCTCTCTCTGCAGTTGCTCAACCCGCTTGCATACCTGCTTCATGCTCGCCTCGTCCTCCATCGCTACAATTTGGCGCCGTATGCTGGGGATCTTGCCAGCCACCACCATGCGCAGCACCAACATCAAAATCAAGCTTACAATCAAACTCACAATCAAAACCAAAACCAAAATCAAAATCAAAATCGACATCAACAAGCTCGTCTCACGGCCGTGGAACAGTGCACCCACACGGCGCTCGAGACGGCCACGCTCCTCCGCCGCTCGGGTCTTGCGGTGGACGGCGACCCAAGCCCGCCAAACGAACAGGCCGTGGCATGGGCCGCCAGCGCCACGTCTCTCTTGACCATGCATCTCCTCCGCTGCACTCTCTTCCTGCTGCTGACGGGCCACACCGACGCCGCCGCCTTGCTGGTGCGCGCGCTGTCTGCCATTGCCGTCGTTCATCGCGACGTGGCTGCACCCTGCGGCCGCTTTTTGGCCTTTTTCACGTCGTGCCTGGCGTTTAAGCGCGCCGAGTACACGGCGTATCTGGCACGGGCAGCGCCGCCGACGCCGCACACACCGCACACACCGCATACACCGCAAACACCGCAAGCACCGCAAGCACCCCAAGGCCCACCATCGGCGCGCCAGCAAACCATACCGCCTGCCGCCGCACCTCAGTCGTTGTACGACGCCCTGGTCCGCGACGAAGAGCTGCTCGTGTACGTGAGCGCCGACCTGCAGGCGTCGCCCGACCGTGCGTGGGTGTGGGACGGCGAGGCGGGACCGGGACCGGGACCTGGGCCAGCGCCAGCATCGGCATCAGCACCAGCATCGACACAGTCCGCTCCGACCGACTTGTCGACCGACGCGCCGCCCTCGTCTGCCAATGCCTTGTCCCGCCCCGATGTGCGGATGGGCCTCTCAGACGAAGAGAGTCGCGACTGGGGCGGCTGGGACCGGCTCGAAAACCGCGTGCGCAGCCTGGCCTCGCTCGTCGGGCCAGGTTCCTCTTCCGCTTCGGCTTCGGCTTCGGCTTCGGCTTCGGCTTCGGCTTCAGCGTCCGGTCCCCTGGCAGCCACGGTGACGGCGAATGCAATGGCCGCTGGACCGCCACCGCCCACATCCTACTCGACAACCTCGAATACCACCGGCACCACAAGCCCTGTTGCCCACTATACGCACCAGCCCGTGTCGGCCCTTTCGTCGATGCCGTCCATGGCCGCCATGCCACCCATGCCCATGTCCATGTCCATGTCCATGTCCGCGTCAGCCTCGTCCGCAGCGACATCGCCACACCCTTCGACCCTGCCTCCCCTGCAGCCCGGGCCACGGCCGCAGCTTCCACCACCAGCACAGCAGCACCAACAGCAGCCTAGCTTCTCCATGTCCGACGCGCCGAGCGGGTCGGCAGCTGCACCGCGCCGCGTGGACAGTCCTGTGCCTGCAGCGAGTGGAAGTGGAGGCAAGTCCAAGAACCAGGACCGCATCAGCATCGCCAATATCATATAGGCGGGATTGCGGGCTTCATGTTTACTCCTATGCTCTCTTGCGTCCTTCGTTCGCCTCTTTGTTAGCCTCTAATAACGCCCTTATGTCTGTATTGCATATTGTATTTCTTCCCCAACTGTAGTCATATCTCCGTCTAATTGGAAACGGCCGGCTCTGGTGTCTGCTTCTAGCGTCTGTTATTCTTTGGTCGTTTGTTTTATTACTTGTTTGTGTTGCTTTCGGACTGGAGAAAACAAAAGGTGCAAAAGGGATTTAGGATACGTCTGTATCAGATGTATTACTCATTATATATTTACTCCGCTTTCCTCAAGTGCCGACCTCGCATCCCACAGTGACTGCAATCGTCGCCGTCTGAATAAAGCCTTCGAATAGAGTCATGGCGGACCAGCTGCACAGCTCATCCGCACATACCCACTAGCAATATCTGCTCGCTCATTTGCCCCCTTGAACGGCAGATGCCGCAGGCGGGCGAGGCGGGTGCGCGCCCTGAACCACGGCTCGTCCGGGCTGCACGGTTGCTGGATATGCCGAATTAACTGCGAACTGCTGCAATTACTTACAGTATCTTTACATTGTGTATATCGTATCCTTAAGGAAGGCTGGATGAACCTTCCGTATTTGGAAAGCAGCACCGTTCCGGCAGGCACGGTGGAGAGGGGACGGCTGCAAAGGAAGGCGCGATAGTGAATCGACGGCGCCTTTTGGGCAGGCGCGGCCCACGTGGATATGTCATCGTTGTGACGAATTGATTGAGGTGGAAAGATCAGAGTTTAAAAACGAACAAAAACGAAGGCGGAAACAATAAAGGTCGACCGCCCCCGGCAACAATCGACACACTTCTCGCGTCTCCTACTCATTCAATCCAATTCACTGCCGATATACGACGAGCGCCAATTGGGCATCGAGTCATCTGCATCTCGTCTTTTGACGTCTGGCGACAAGCGAAAACCTTCTGTTTTATATTCTTCCGCATCACATCTGCTACCGCTTCTCTCCTCCACTCGTTGTCGGCCACCACTCCCCCCTCCCCCCTCCCCCTCTCCTCCGCCATGTGTCACCACACGACCCAGCCGCTGCACACGCTGCTTGCGGCCCTGCCCAAGTGCGAACACCACATGCACGTCGAGGGCTCGCTGTCGCCCGAGCTGCTCTTTGAACTCGCCCAGCGCAACGGCGTCGCCCTGCCGCCCGTGTCCGAGGACGCCGCGTTTGCGTCCGTCGAGGCCCTCTATGCCCGCTACGCCCGCTTCACGTCGCTCGACGATTTCCTGCACTACTACTACATCGGCATGTCCGTGCTGCAGACGGCCGCCGACTTTGAGGCCCTCGCCATGGCCTACTTTGAAAAGGCCCACGCCGCCAACGTGCGCCACGCCGAGATCTTCTTCGACCCGCAGGTCCACCTGGCCCGCGGCGTGTCGCTTGCCGACGTTGTGCGCGGCCTGCGTGCCGCCAGCCGCCGTGCCACGGCCGAGCTGGGCGGCATGACGTGCCTGCTGATTCCGTGCCTGTTGCGCCACCTGCCCGTCGCCGACAGCGGCCAGCTGGTGGCGCAGCTGCGCGAGGGCTACTGGGCGGACGGCGACGAGGCGGCACAGGAGGCGGCGGTCGTGCAGGCGCTGGACGCGGCCTTTGACAGGGAGGCGGACGCGGATTCGCTGCGCGGCGCGCTGGCGGGGCTGGGCCTCTGCTCGTCGGAGCGCGATCTGCCGCCGACGCTGTGGCGCGATGTGTTCCGGGAAGCGAGACGGCACAGCGTGTCGGCCCCAGACGGGTCGACAACAAGATCGACAAAAAAACCCGCCCGCCGCGGTGCCACCCGCATCACCGCCCACGCCGGCGAGGAGGGCCCGGCCGAGTACGTTGCCCTCGCCCTCGACCACCTGGGCGCCCAGCGCATCGACCACGGCATCGCCGCCGCCACCGACACGGACCTCATGGCCCGCCTGGCCGCCGACCAGATCCTGCTGACCGTGTGCCCCCTGTCCAATGTCTGCCTCAAGGCCGCGCCGTCCGTCGCCGACGTGCCCATCCGCGTCTTCTTGGACGCCGGCGTGCCCTTCTCCATCAACTCGGACGACCCGGCCTACTTTGGCGGCTACATCCAGGAGAACTACTGCGCCGTGCAGGACGCGCACAACCTGGCCGCGGCCGACTGGGCCACGATTGCGCACAATGCCGTGCGCGGCAGCTGGTGCGACGAGGCGCGGAAGACGGCCATCCGGAACGAGATTGATAGCGTCATGGCGGCCTGGGAGGCGGGCACCTTGTCTGCACCCAAGGCGTAGGTTGTGGATGGGATGATTGTTTTGTGGTTTATGGAATTTTGTTTGCCATGGCGTCATCACTGCAAAGGAGCATTGTTACGGAGCACGATATTTATTCAACATTTTAATATCACGACTTGTACTTTTATTTCAAGTTTGTACATCATTCAATTTATGTTTTGTGAAGGGAAAAAGTGCGCCTCGGCACAAATGCCTGCTTTCATCTCCTACTCCTCGGTGACTCCAGTGAGACCGCCGACAATGCCCTGCATGCGCCGACCCAACAAATCGTCCGAGCTCTTGAGCTTGACCAGCTCCTTGTCGTCCTTGCTGTCCTTGGCGCGCTGCCGCCCCAGGGCCTTTTGCTTTTTGGACTTTGGCTTGCCCGCACCGGCGGTGCCGTTGTTGTCTGGTGTCGTGGCGGCAGACGACATGGTAGTCGATGTCGACGTCGATGTCGATGCCGTCGTGGAACCAGACGATGGCGCAGCAGGTGCTGTCGTCGTGGCCTGTGCCGGCGCCGGCTCGGTCGATGCATTCGTCTTGCTGACCTTTGTCATGCGAATCATCTCCAGCGGCGCCTCGTCGCCGCTCGACTCGGTCCGCGCCGACGAGACAACGCGGCTGTGCCCGGCTGTATAGGGCGTCGTACCTGTTCCATCCCTGTCTGGCGGTTGCGTCATGGCCGTTGCAGTCTTTGTATCGACCGACAGCGCTGCTTTCGTGGCCGGAGGCGTCGCGAGAGTCGGCGCCGCCTCGTTCCGCTCCGACGTGTTGGTCCGCGAGGTTGTGCGGCCGCGTGGCACGCGACCCCGAGCAGAAGCCGCATCGCTCCGTGCCCGCACCTCGTCGGCGTGCTGGAACGCATCCTGGATCCATCCGGACGCCCGCTGGAACCACTTCCAGGCGGGCGGGTAGACGGCCGGGAACTGCAGGAAGCCGTGGCTGACGCCCGGGATCAGGACGACCTCGGCCACATCGCGATCGTCGAAGCCTTCGGTGCGCGCGTCGGATTCGCGGTACTCGACGCGGCGGCCGCCCGATGCGTAGTAGGCGGCCTTGACGCGGCGCAGGCGGCCGGCAAAGATGACCGTGTCGTCCACGAGGGGGTCGCGCTCGCCAGTCAAGAAGTAGGTCTTGGGAAAGTGGGCGAGCAGCAGATCCGGCGCCAGAATGGGCGACAACAGATAGTCCTGGGAAAAGTCGGGGCGGTTGTGGGGGCCAATGTACAAGATGATCATGGCGCGCATCATCTCGGGCGTCAGGACGCGGTCGTTAAAGTAGGAGATGGTCGACGCGGTGGCGAGCTGGGTGCTGATGGCCTGCGGGTGGTAGGACGCAGTGGGTGCTTTCGAGTCGCTGCCGCCGCTTCCGAGCGGGCTGGTGCTGGCTCCGCGGACGGTCTCTGATTCGATGTTGTCGGTTGCCGTCCCTGGCGTCAGTCCCAGCTCCCGCTTCCACTCGTTTGTCGGCGTCTGCGGCCGCGAGTACGACGACACGTTGACGTGCGAGTAGGCCGGCTTGGGCCTGCGGGCTTTGGAGCGCACGAGCTCGTCGTCGTCGTCGTCATCGTCGTCGTCGAAATCGACATTTCCGTTGCTGCTGCGATCGCTCCCCTGACCTGCGTCGTCGCTGCTGGGCACCGCCTTGGTCATGGTCAGATCCTCATCGTCCGACTCGTGCGGCGTGCCCGCGAGGTCGCTGTACTGCTTCGTCTTGCGGCGCAGCACATTGCGGTTGGTCGCGCGCGTGCGGCGGTCTCGGATCAGGGCCATTTGCTCGTCCGACATCCAGTTGCCAATGTTGACGTCCATGCAAGGGTACGTCAGCACCAGGCCATCGGGGAGAGGCAGCCGCCTCGTCGAGCGGCCACCGGAGGAGGTGCCGGGTGCCGACTGCTGGGCCAGCATCAGCGTCATGGCCGTGGCCAGGTTGCCACCCGCACTGTCGCCCGTGACCACCACGCGCACAGGATCGTGGGCGGCCAGTCCGATGCACCGACCACGCGAATGGACGAGCGTCGCGTAGGCGTCGTAGCACTCGTTGAGGGCGTACGGGAACGGGTACTCGGGGGCCTTTTTGTAGTCCAGACTCAGCACGGGCAAGCCCGTCTGGACGGCCCACGAAAAGAGGCGGTCGTCGTTGCAGCGCGGGTCCATGGCGACGAAGCCGCCACCGGGGACATCCAAAATGACGCGGTTGAGGCCGGACGCGCGCAGATGGTCGATGGATCCGTCATAGTACAGCCACGCCATGATGGGCTGGTCCTGGTAGTCGCTGGTGGCGGGGCGGGGGATGCGGACGAGGCGGGCCGGCCAGCGGGTGAGCCGTGGGTGCAGCAGCCCCTGGAAGAACCGCAGATAGGGCGTGGTGCCCTTGTTCCAGCTGACGCGGAGGTGCTCGACGGTGAGATTGCCGCGGACCTTGCGGACCTTTTCATCGGCCTTTTCGGCGGCCACCAAGTAGAAGCCCGAGAAGACAATGCTGGCCAGGTCGCGGAGCCACTTGGTGCGGATCTTCATGGCGGTCCAGAAGCCGGCGTCGAGCGCGGTCAGGACCCACGTGGCGCGGAAGAAGGTGGCGTCGTACATGTTGGTGAGCGGGTCGGGGCTTGCGAGGCCGACAAGAGTGCTAAAATTGCGCGAGGCGTAGAGGTACAGCATGGTAAGGACGACTACCTGCCAGGCCGTCAGGCGTTTCGAGAGCAGCCGCGAGAGCGACCGGGCGCCGGGGGGGCCATTCTTGTCGCCGCGTGCGAGGTAGGTCGACCAGAAGGCGAGCACGGCGAGGACCTGCAGCCGCCGCGACTTGATGGACGGGCGGCCCAACACGTGGTCGATCATGGCGTTGTTTTGTTGGAAGTGTCGTTTATGACTGGTGCTCGATGCCTTGCCGAAAAGGGCGGCGACCCGAACGTGTGGATAAAGGTTGTATCCGGCTGTGTGCAACAGGCGACGCCAATGTTTGACAGACCCCGAACTTGAGATATGGGAAGGGTGGGATCAGTTATCAGGTTGCGTGGACCAACAACTTCAATGGCGGGCTGACGGAGTGGCCAACAGAACAAAGAAAACGCAACTGTGATGGTGAAATCAGGGACTGTGGCCCAAAGCAGGACGAGATGCGATAATGAACAAAGAACGATGGAAGAAACAAGGAGAATGAAGAATCAAGGACGGGAAAAGGAACGGAAAGGACAGAAAAATAAATGGTATGCGAAATCCTCGTTGGATCTCGTTGGATTCGCAAACTCGTCTCCTGGGTCTCGTCAGTTGTGGTTCGTGCTATTCTGATATCCCCATCGTCTTCTGTGTCGTCGTCGTTCGTCTTCTCCTTCTTTCGATGTTTCCGGGATGTCCGCCGGTGTAGAGAAGGGACCGGACAAGCAATTTGGTGTATTTTCCAGTTTGTTGTTTTCTGTCGTCTTCCGGGCAGCTCTTCTCTTTTGTCCTTCTTGCCCTGGTGATGTGTTTGCGTGTGCATATTGTCCTGGTTATGGCCGTTTTCTGACATGTGAAATCATGTTGGCGTTAAACAAGAGTATTAGTCGCGGAGAGTCCGGCCTCGCACGGTGTCAGGCAGTTCTCTGCTCCCACTCTTCTGTGGTGGCACATATCTGTGCGTCATGTGCGACCTCAAGAATACCAGTGGAACGCACTAATCACCGTGCCCCACAGCGTTGTGTGAGGGTGAGTGAGATTCGCTCCAAATCGGCCGCATGTGGTATTTGAAAGCGGTTTCTGTACAGTGAAATGGTGGTTCGCACTGTACTCGCGCCATTTCTGACGCAGCACCCATTATTCGCCCGTGTAGAAAAGTCGTGTCTAGCCATTATTAACCGCGAATAACCAGTGGAGTCTTGAGATGCACATAAAGGATGGCATCCTTCCAAAGTTTCCAGAAAAGTCCAAAGTCCAACGTCCAAAATAACAGCCAATGGTTTGATTTATTTCGCTAGGCTGAAGCAAGCAAACAAAAGTGTATGCAAAAAGACGAAAGTGCAACGAGAAAGCACAAAGCCAATGCAACAATCCAAATATCTCTTACCCGTGCTCGACACAGTTCCAGATTGCCCCTGTTCCTGCTCCTGAGCTCCTTCTCCGTCTTGAGCATTGCCAGCGTCTGCCGTTCCCTCACCGTGAGGGCCGTGGAAGCGTATTTATCCAACCACCAGCGCTGCGTACCGTCGTGAATGTTGGTGGGGGTGCCGAGGACGCCGTGGACGCCGTGGACGCCGTGGCAGAGTCGTCGACTTCGTATTCGGCATCGTCTTCGCGGTCGTCGCCCGTGCTTTAGCAGACAGCATGCGTCTTGCCAGTCTTGCCCTGGATGGAGTGTTCTTCGTTCTGGTACGGGAGGAAGAAAAAACGGGTCAGTACTGGGAGGTAATTTTACAACAGCAGAAACAAGGGGATCAACAAAATAAAAAACGAACGCGGAACTTAGGGTGGTTGTGCTCGGCACGGGAGCTAGCCAAGTGGTGGTCGCGAACAAACTCCTGGGTCTTGCGGAGGGCCTCCTTGTCCATGTTCTCGAGGAAGGACATGCACAGCTTGATGTCGGAAATGAGGGCGTCGCAGCGGTTCCAGGTAAAGTCCTCGCGGACGACAACGCGCAGCATCTTGAGGCCGTCGGTGTTGGGGGCCATGGTGTAGGCGGGGACGACCCAGCCGCGGACGCGCAGCTGGTGGGCAAGGGCAAACTCGTCGTAGACGCGCTCGCCACCGTCGTCGGACTTCTCCCCGACGTCGGGCAGGCGGAAGGCGACAAGGGGCAGACCCTCGCCAGACTTCTTGGACATGATGACAAAGCCAAGCTTCTCGAGCGAGTCGGACAGGTAGTCGGCGGTGCGGGTGAGGTTGGACATGATGGCGCGGTAGCCGTGCTTGCCGAGGCGGATCAGCTGGTAGTACTGGCCAATGACCTGGGAGGCGCCCTTGCTGAAGTTGAGGGTGAAGGACGACTGGTCGGCGCCCAGGTAGTTGATGTTGAAGACGAGCTCCTGGGGCAGGTACTCGGCGGAGCGCCAGACGACCCAGCCGACACCGGGGTAGACGAGACCGTACTTGTGGCCAGACACGTTGATGGACACAACCTTGGGCAGACGGAAGTCCCACTCGAGGCCGGGCATGACGAAGGGGGCGACGAAGCCACCGCTGGCGGCGTCGACGTGGATGGGGACGTCGAGGTTGCGCTCGACCAGCAGGTCGTTGACGGCCTTGACGTCCTCGTACTCGCCGGTGTAGGTGGTGCCCAAGATGCAGCAGATGCCAATGGTGTTCTCGTCGATGAGGTCGACGACCTGCTCCGGGTCGATGACGAAGCGGTCCGGGGTGCAGTAGACGAGCTTCTCGTCAATCTCAAAGTAGCGGGTGGCCTTTTCCCAGCAGACCTGGACGGCCGAGGACATGATGATGTTGGGGTTCTCGTACGACTTGCCCTCGGCCTTGCGCTTGTTCTTCCAGCGGCGCTTCATGGCCAGGACACCGAGCATGATGGCCTCGGACGAACCGACACAAGACGTGCCGACGGCGCCAGCGCCGGACTCGGGGCCGACCGGGGCGTGGAAGAGGCGACCGATCATGGAGACACAGCGGTTCTGGATCTCGGCGGACTGGGGGTACTCTTCGTAGTCGATAAAGTTCTTGGAGAACGACTCGGTCATGAGCTTCTCGGCCTCTTCCTCCATGTAGGTGGTGACGAAAGAGGCGAGGCTAGGTTTAGGTTTCAACACATTAGCGGCGGGCACCAACGGGGAAGGAGGGAAAACGAGAGAACGTCAGGCAACATAGACACCTACTTCAGCATGGGGTTGCCGTCCAGGCTGAGCTCGTCCTTGATCATGCGGTAGGCGACCTCTTTGGGCATCTCGGTCTCGGGGATCTCGTGGCGGGGCAGGTCGGCCGAGGCGAAGCGGGAGCCGTAGACAGAGGTGGTGAAGCAGTCGGCATCGTTGGCGAGCTGGAGGTGGGACTTCTTGACCTCCTTGTCGATGTGCTTGCCGGTGGTGACATCTTCATGCTTGATCTCGGCGAGATGGACCATGATGGCGGTGGTGCGTGTTTGTTGTCTGGATTTGGAGCAATCTACGTGTCGGTACGGTTGTTGCTGCTGTGCAGTCTCTGTTTTACTGTTGTGTAGACGAAAAGTTAGCAAACTGGAGCGCCGGATAGAATGACGGTTGCTGCTTTTTCGGTCGTCTCTTCAGGAAGCTCCCAGGGAAGTGTGCAAGTCCCCCTGCAAGCTCTGACTGGTCCTCCCGCGTCTCCCATCGTTCCTATTCTTACTATCCTTCCCAAACCCCCGTCGTCCCGCTCTCGCTCTTGTGCTCCCCAACTTGGTTTGCCACAGATGGCAGAATGAGGAGGCAAGACAAATTGAGAGCAAATAAACAAAAAATAACAAACAGAAACAGAGACATTTAGAGGTCAATGGGTGATGGGGACCGTATCTTACCAGGCGAGGCGCAAAACGACACGGAAGACAAGGTGGTCGGCCGTGTGAGAGTGAGGCAAATGGGGTGGTCAAGTGAGAATGGGAGAGAAACGAGGCAAATAAGAGAATGGAGGGGGGGCGATGGGGATAAATAAAAGAAACAAGAAGTACTAGCAATAGAAAGTGGAAGTGAAGTGACAGGGGCGGGGGCAGCCCAGTTTGAAGGAAAGAAGTTCCTGGGTTCCCAAAGCAGGGCAGCTCCTTCGGGAGAGCTAAGAGAGGGGGGGTCAGAACAGATAAAGAGGAAAGAGCTATCCAGTCTCCCAGTGTGGGTGGCCATGCACGTTGGACACATTGCATGCGAGAAGCTGCATTGCTGCTTTTGCCTTTTGGGCCTCTTTCCCCTTTCCCTTATTTCTTACGTTTCCTTACGTACTTTTGTGTCGTCTCGTCGCACCTTCCTCGTCTCACACGCCCCCTCCCTCGCTCCTTCCCTCCCAGCCTGCACCGCACATTGCCACACGTTATACGTCCAAAGACGGCCATTTGCCATTCCATTGTCTCCCAGCGTGATGCAGTCTAGACATCCTCATTGGTACTACTCATTCTGGGCAGTGTCGTTATGCCATTGATTTGTTCTTCGCTTCCTCTTTTCTTTTGGGTTTGCACTACCCCAACGACAAGATTTCTTGGCTTTTTGTCTGCTTTGGGAGCTTTTTGGGAGCTTCCTGGTCTGGCGGAGTGGAGAAGGAGGGGGGATGGGGCGGAAAGAGCGAAGTAGTGGGGCGGCGTGGCATACGGCAAGGAAGGCACGGCCAGCATTGCCAACAGAGCTCCTATGTAATTACGCGTTACAGCGGCGGTCTGCCAGATCCAACGCCAGCTCGCCAGATAGTGCGAACACAGCGCCAGAACATCGGTGTGGAGCAGCTGGGCAAAAGCCAAGTCGAATACGGCTGGGGCTGCCGAGGGAGACAAGAATCGAGACAAATCGAGACAAATCAAGACAAATCGAGACGAAACGAGCCGACCGAGAGTCGTTGCTGGCGATGGCGATCTCCATTCGCCCTCGTGGAAAATCGAAAACGATACTGTGACAGGACCGACGCACAAAGGTGTTCCTTTCTCTACTTGTAGATCTTTGGGCAAATCGATGAGGTGGAAAAACACTGCAGCATCGGCCAAGGTGTGGACCCTTCTGTGCCTTGTGAGCTTGTGTTCCCGTATTGAGTGTCTGAGTGTGTACTTCGTACGGCGTGTGTCGTACATCCTTGCACGAGCAAAAGCTTGATCTGAGCTCGTTTGCTTGGCCGTGCATTGGCCCAGTCTAGCTCGAGAGCCGGTGTCCGGTGTCCACCTCTTGATGGTGGACAGCAGTCTCGTTTTCCTCTTCCCTCGCTTCCCGGAGTCTGTTCCGCGGGAGTGCAGAAACGAAACTTTTGTCTTGTCGTCTATGGATATAGCTGACTCGTAATAAGCAATACTATTTGTTTCAAGAACGAGACGTGGCCTCCAATGCAGGAGAAGAGGAGGGATGCGAGGTAGCGTCGGAGTGCAGGAGGGAGCTGGGCAAGGGGCCTGTCAGACGTAAAGCAGCAATTATGCCATGAAGCAGCCCAGTCGCCAGGTTTCGGCGTCAGAGAATTGGAGGCCTGCAATTGAGAGTCCTGAAGCAATATGTTGTATATTGCGCATTGTCTCCAGGTCGCTGCGGTCTGCCTCCTTCCTGTTTGTAAGATACGTCTTTGCGACGGCGGACTGGACAGGAAGGACCGGCATTGAGCTACAAGCACAGGGGCAGGAAGGAGGGGCAGGAAACACGCGTTCGAAACAGACTATGCTGGCTCGGCTGGCTGGTGACATCATTGGGCCGTTTCTGGCAGGCGCCACAGCCCTGACTTGGGTACATGTGAGTAGGTCGTCGCACACAGCGGGGTTCTGTACGAGCAGCGGTCCATGCGCTACGCCGCGACCAAAGTGCCCTGAAGGCCCCTAGCCAGCCGGCCACAATCGACGTCCAAGTGACAACCCCCCATCCCCTCCCCTCTCTCCCCTCCCGCTTCAGACGAGGCCCAACGACCAACGCCCATACCAGATGGTCGCGTAACACGCAGCCCATCGGGACGGTCCTGTCAAAAAGGCTTGGCTTTTTGTGCATATTCGCCCAGATGCGTTGGCCAAGACGGTCCTCCTTTGCTTTCGAAAATTCAGCTACGTCCGGAAGAGGGAAAGTACAACAAAGGAGATGCCCATGAAAACGACACGGCAGACGCGAGCGTGGACTTTTTCCGACTCCCCGTGGCCGAGACAGCGTTCCTGGTTCGACAACTCCACACGCCAGCTGCGATGCTAGTGTCCGTGGGCTAGGGAAGCTGTGCTGGGGCTGAAATGCGACGATGCATGATGGGTGTGGTATCGTAGTTGGGGGATTGGGGGTGAGTGTGGGCGAAGGTCCAATTAAAAAGACCATACACACCCACATCGTGTGATGGTGCTGAAAGGGGGGAAGCGCGGTTCTCCAGCATGGAACATCGGCACGACCGACTGCCCGCCGGGTTGGTATCAAAGAAAACATGGGGGATAGGGGGAGGGAGGAGGGGGAAGCCTCGACCAAAATCAATCTTCACAAGAAAACGTTCAACGCAGAAAGTGCTTCCTGTCCAAGGGCGGGCACCAGCTGTAAATCGCGCACGCTGGCCGCCAACGAGAAATGAGGAGAGCAATGGAGAGAGCAAGCTGGCTGGGAAGAAGCTGGCTGGGAAGCTAGATTCGAGCTTGCGACCTGGTTGGTGGAGGACGGCCGCATGGATCGGCAACAAAACGATCCGTGGTGCGTTGCGGATGTGGTCGTGCCCAACGACAAAATGGAGCAACAAGGTGCAGCTCTTCTCTTGAAAACGGCTGCGTGGTGAAGGAACCCTGCCAGCCGGCGTTTGTTTGTGTAGCGGGCGGATAGCCGTCTTGTCTATGCTTAACATCCGTATTGCTGCTGTGCCATGGGGTGCATGCTGGTAGTTTGAATATGGCATGTCCTGTCACCCATGATGGAAGATGCCGGCCGCCGTTCTTTCTCGCGGAGCAGTGGCTCTGTCGTTCTCGTATACCTGGTCCTTCGCCTGGAATAATGTGCCAGACGTCTCGCATCGGCGAGCAGCCTCCTTGGACAAAGGAATCAAAGGGCATCACGAGGTGACAAGACCTGGGAAGTGCTGTGTCGAGCTGTCGAACGCAGAAAAGCCTCCCACTATCCGGTGCTGCCCAGATGGGTTGTTGCTGCCACCTTGCTGAGAGCGTCCCGGAGATGGAAATCCCTCTCTTTTGGTCTTCTGTTCTCGACTGCCGCTTTTCATGTCTTTTCTTACTCAATCCCTGTCCATTAGTCGCAGACTTTCTACGACTATTAGCAACCTCTCCCCCTCCTCCCTGTCTATCTTCCTCGTAAGATCATGGCTTAAATATGACAAGGCAAGCTTTCAGGATTGCCATAGCTTGCCGCTCTGCCGCTGCCAAGACGTGCGTTTCTTCAAGAAGCTGTGAGCTCCATGGTGTGGGGTCAAGGCATCCGATCGACAGGGCCACTGCCGTCTGCCAAGACTGTCTCAGACGAACAAGCCGTACAAACGGAGTAACACGAGCTACATATATTCCATGGCCAAATAAAGTACTGTGCATCGTTTTCATATTGCATTTCTGAGCTATCCATTAAAGAACATGCTTTTGTTGTGAGAAACGCGACAAAATTACGTCTGCGAATCCCAAACCGAAACGACGAGGAATAAGAGATACACGATAAAGCCGCTACAGAGAAGCTGAAGCAATGATACTAAACAACAAACACCAACGTTTGTTGTCTTCCCTGGTTTTGCTTGCAGATGCAAAATGAGGGGACGAGAGAAACAAAAAAAATCATATCGAAAACAAAGCAACCATTTGCAAAAACCGCCCGCCCCGTATTTGTATAAAAAAGACGCAACACCATATTCAGACAAGAGTGGCCAATGCATAAAAAGACGAGACAGAATAAAACAAAGACAGAGTGGTCAAAGTAGACACCCATAAAAAAACAAAGTGCCGTTGGGGGTATTGAAACGACCAGAGAGTACAGAGACATTGAAAAAAAAAAAAAAAAAAAAACACGGGGAAAGAAAAGCCAAACATGTAATAGAAATAAACATAAAATATACAAAGGTGAGGAGGGACGAGCCGGCGCTCGCCAAGAGGAGCGAGAGGGAACAGCAGGACGGTCGGCCATAAAAGTCGGGAGGTGGTGAGGTGGGGGGTCGTGGATCAAACAAAAAAGACATGAATTACCCTTGACCGCAATCTTCAGTCTTGACTCGCCCCGCGGCCGTGGTTGCGCTGTTCCCTGTGCCGCCGCGGCCATCATCAACGAGGTCGATCGGGTCACTTTCGCCGTCGACTTTGAAGTCAGGGTCGGTTTCGGCTTCCGCGTCGGCATCAGCATCAGCGTCGGCGCCAGCATTGGTGTTCGCTGCAGCGCAATGGCTCGCGTCGTCCTCCTGCTTGACAGCCACAACAGGGCTGTACGCACGTATGTACTGCTGCTGGTCGATGGCCCACCGCAGCACGTTCAGATTAGGCATCCGTCGCCGGGCCAACGTAGCCAGCATGGCTGCCGCAACACGTTGCTCGTGTGTGCCGTTCAGCGGAGCTTGCCATGGCTGCTGTGCCGTTGCCGCCTGGGACACCGTCTGCTGCGCGCCATGTCGGAGCACAGGCGGCAGCACAGCATCATCGGCAATGAGAGCAACGCCGGTGCCGTCGTGAAACAAGTCGGGAACCACCATGCTTTGCGAGAGCATATCCTGAAAGCTTTCCGGGCCGCTAGACCTTGGCGGCGATATGGGGGGTCCTGGAGAAGGAGGAGACACCGATGCTCCTGAGCGAGCGGGCGAGCCGGTTTCGGGGCCTGTTTCTTGAAACGCGACATCCAGCGGCTCCTTCACACCCGCCAATCCCAACGAGGCAGCATGGGGGGCTGGCGTAAGGCTGTCCACCGTCGAGGGGTCGGAAGCACCCTACTGCTGCATCCCCTGCGGCATCATGCCGCCCAGTCCGTTCATGCCAGGGTTCATGCCCGCCCCCGGATTCATGCCCTGCGGCATGCCTTGCGCCATGCCTTGCGGGAGGCCCTGCATTCCCTGCGGCAAGCCTTGGCCCAGACCCTGCGGCATGCCCTGCGGCATACCTTGTGGCATCCCCTGAGGCATCCCTTGCGGCATCCCCTGCGGCATCCCCTGCGGCATGCCTTGCGGCATCCCCTGCATCCCCTGCATGCCCGCCTGCATCTGCTGCTGCTGTTGCTGGGCCTGCTGCGCCTGCTGGGCTTGCATCAAACCGGCCACCTGCTGGCGCCGCTGGTTCAGCATTTGGCTCACGAGCTGCTGCGCCTGCTGGAGACACATCTTCTGGAAGTTCGCCAGCTCCTCGGGCGGGATGTTCTTCTCGCCGCCAAACCGCTGCGCCAGGTTGCCCAGATTGTTGTTGTAGATGCGGTTCCTGTGCTGCAGAATCAGGTTGGCCTGCTGCGACTGCTGGTGCGTCCGCTGCTGCTGCACCTGCTGCGCCTGGTTCAGCTGCTGAGGCGACAGGTTCATGCTGTTCGCCTGCGCCATCGACAGGTTCTGGCCGCCATTGAGCGACTGCTGTTGCCGCTGCAACAGGGCGTTCATCTGGTTCTGTTGCTGTTGCTGCTGGGCTTGTTGTTGTTGTTGTTGTTGTTGTTGTTGTTGCTGCTGTTGTTGCTGCTGCTGCTGCTGCTGCTGCTGCTGTTGTTGTTGCTGCGCCTGTTGCTGTTGTGCCTGGTGTTGCTGCATCTGCTGTTGCATAATCTGCCGCTGGAGCTGCTGCTGCTGTTGCGGGTTTAAACCCGCCTGCTGGGCTTGCAGCGCCGCCTGCTGCTGGGCCATCATCTGCAGCATCATCGCCTGCTGCTGGGGTGTGCCCTGGATGCCCATCGCGGCAGCGCGCATCTGCACCTGCGCCGCCGCAGCCACGCGCTGCTGGTTCAGGAACTGGGCCTGCTGCTGCGGCGTCGCCATGCCGTTCTGGATGGCCTGTTGCATTCGCTGCTGTGCTTGCATCCGCTGGGCCGCGGCCATGCTGTTGTTCGCCATCTGCGGCGTGCCCATCCCCGCCGCGTTCATGTTCTGCTGCATGAGGAACTGTGCCTGCTGCGGCGTCATCATATTCGGCGTCGGGCTGGCCTGCGCAGCCATGCGGGGTGTGGCCATCTGCTGCGGCCGGTTGATCGGGGTTGCAACCTGTTGCTGCATGTTGGGCGTCGCATTTGGCATCCGGGGCGTGTTGGACGGGTGGCTCTGCTGGCTGCCTCGGGCCGACATGGTGACCGACATGGGCGCGGCCATGGGCGCGTGGCTCTGCGCGACCGACGGTGGCCGGGGCGGGCTGCCTGCGATGCTCGACGTCGACGCCTGCATGGGGACGGTGCCCACCATGGGCGACGACATGTTCTGGGGCGTGCCGTTGCGCGGGACCGGCGACGACGCGACGCCCTGCTGGGCAGCCATCTGCATACGGGCCTGGAACTGGGCAGCTTGCTGCGGCGTCATGCCGTTGGGAAGACCATTGGGGAACCCATTGACAAGGCCGTTCTGGCCCTGGCCCATGGCGGCCGCAGCGGCAGCGTTTTGCGCGGCCTTTTGAGCCGCCGCGGCGGCGTTTGGCTGGCCTGGTGTCTGGGGCTGCTGGTTCTGCATGCCCTGTGCCTGGGCCCTTGCGGCTTGCGCCGCCTGGGCTTGCTGCGCGGCATGAGCCTGGGCCTGGGCTTGCTGTTGCGCCTGGGCCGCTTGCGCCGCCTGGGCCTGAGCTTGTGCTTGTGCCTGGGCCTGCTGGTTCTGCTGGGCCTGCTGCTTGGCAGCGGCCTGTGCAGCTTGCTTCCTCCGCTGGGCCTCCTGGCGCTGCGTCTGCTGTTCGCGTGCAGCCGCCTCGCGCGCCGCCTGCGCTTGTGCCTGGGCCTGCTGCTGCTGCCGTAGCCGCTCCTGCTCGCGCTGCTCGCGGATCTGCTGTTCCCGAAGAGCAGCCTGCTGCACGGCGGCCGCTTGCTGCTCGGCACGCTGGATGGCCAGCTGGCGCTCCCGCTCGGCCTGCTTCGCCTTCTCAATCTCCTTACGTTCTTGGTGTTCACGCTTGATCTGTTCAATCAGCTTGAAGCGCTCGAAGCGAGGCTCAAAGGCCGCAGAGCCACTCTGCAGGTCGCCATCGCCGCCGGTAGCCACGTCCTGGCCGCCCGAGGCGTCCGCACTAAGACGCTCGTCTTCGGCCAACATGTACCGTTCTTGGGTGGCGGCAAAGGCTTCGTAAGCAGCCATCTCGGCAACGGTCTGCTTTCTTCTCTTGGGTTGCGGCAGAGCCGCCTCGTGGTCGGGGTGGGCCTGCTCCTCGAGCTTGCGGCGCATGCCGGCCGCCGACGTGACCGGCTCCAGGTCCAGCTCGGGGTAGTTGGCGAGCAGGATCTCAGCCTCGAATTCGGGAATGTTGGAGCTGTCGAGCTGCATCGGTTCACGCTTCGGCTTCTTCGCGGCGGCTGTTGCCATGGGTGTTGGTGGCGGGATGTAGGTCATGCCGTTCGCGTCCCGGGTTTCCGTCGCATTGCGCGGCGTGCTTGCCATGAGGGCCATGTCGGCGTGCATGCTTTCCTGCGTCGGCTTCAAGACAACTGTGAAGATCCTTGGCTTGGGTGGCGCTTGGCTCTTCTGGGTCTCGGGGAGGCCATTGGATGCCGAACTCGTCATGTCTTTATCCTTGATGTCGGTAGCGGAGTCCCCTGGCGACTTCTCCTTCGCCTTCTTATCAGCAGGGCTTGAAGCGTTCTTGTCTTCGGAGACGATGCTGTCCTTGGGGTATGGAACGAATCCGGATGGCGTGACGTAAGGGTCGTAGTTGTGAATGGAAGAGGGTGTCGAGTTGTTCTTTTGTTGTGCAGGGCGGTTAGCATCCTTAGTTTGCGCGACGGACTTATGGTCGTAGACCTGCACGATCAGGCATCCTTCGTAAAAGGGGACACCATTGCTGGTCAAGACACCGATCAGGTCGTGAGGAACGGTGCGCGACTTGAGGTGCTCCAAGAAAATGCGCATTGGCGATTTGTAGGGGAAAATGCCATCCTGCTGGTCGAAGCGGAAATGTGCCGCATACAGGTGGACAACGAGAGATGGAGGATTGTGGCGGAATTTCTTAAGAATGTACCGGTCGGTGATGACTGCGACGTAGATACAAGGTTAGCTAAATGGAGGAATGGGAAAGGAGCGAGACGGAGATCAATGACAGCCATCGAGGACGGCCATCAAAGCCAGCCGTCAAAGAGAGCCACAAGCAAAATGTGAGCCAGGTGGCATACCATATGGTCTGGCTTCCGAGGCGGCTGATGGGTCGACCTTGGGACCAGTCACTTGGAGCGTCCCATTGACTTTGGAATCGCCCCCAGGCCCGGAGCCGGTGCCGTTTGTCTGCACCGGGGGCATACGTGGTGGCCGATTTGGAGGGCGCACGGGTGTGACTGTGATGCCGTTGGGGCCGGATGTGGACGCGCTACCGAACGCGACAGACTTGCCCGTGGCAGGTGGCTTCTTGGATGTGAGAGATGGTGATGGCGATGACCGGATGGAGCTGGCACCGCTGTTCTGGACGCCGGCCGGGGTCGGCCGTTTCGCCTTGGGGATAGTCGGCGGAGGGACGGCGGTCACCGAGATGGGCGCCATGATTGCAATGGCCTCGGTGAGCGTGTGGTAGTATCGCTGTCGAGTTGTATTCTACCAATACGTGATGTCGACGGGGAAGTGATGCGACCGACAGCGCGTTTCGGAAGAAAAGGCGATACCAGGTCGCGAGAAAGAAAAAAAAAAAGAAAAGAAACGATGTCTCCGCAAAAACTCTCGCACTCCCAGGAGCCTCCTCGAGTCTTAGACAAGAAAACCGGCGCAGTAATTCGCAATCATTTGTTCTGGGGTATCGACTTGTGATAGTGATGCGCTTCGACGGACGGATGCGTGGTTGCGGTTGCCCTGTCGGATGCGGCTGTTGACGCGATACGAGACAGGGGATATTTTTGGCGGGATAACGAGCGGCACGTTGTAAAACGACGAGAGAGCGCTCGGAACAGCTGATGCGCGGCAGAAATGCGCAAATCAACCCCGGCCACCAACGCGATTGGCCAGTACGTCCAAAGTCTTGATAACTAACGTTGTTCCGGTGATGATATCGATGATAGATATCGCTGCCGGAAGTCAGATCGGGTCGATCGATGTGACAAATAGGGACAAGGAGGTCGTTTTCCTGGCTGGTTTAGCAACAGAAGTAGGGGCCCATGGAGGCACGGGGCAGGGAATTCGTGGTTGTCAGCGAATAGTCGTGAGTCTGACGAACAAAAATCACCGCTTTTCGGGTCGAAATAGATGGCGGTGATGGCGATGGCGATGGTCGTTGATGCCGGAATCTGGGCGCGTTGTCAGTCTGGAGAAGGTGTGGGGTTGAAGCCGAGGGCGATACACCACATGGAGCGTGGTTAAAATTCGCGAAACCGGTTAGGGTGATGCACGTTCAAGCCCCTGTGGCTGGTGGATCACGTGAATTCTTGTAGGCGGATGCGACCCAGTTCTTACGACGTATAGTTTTGTATGTAATATCTCAGTAGCCTTGTCTCCCCAGCAGAATTTGTAAAGGTGCGTCAAGGAAGCTGATCAATCAATTTAAAAGGGACTCGAATGTATGACAGTAGATTCTTTTGTTGCTTTGCTCGATTCAAGGCCCAGTTCGCAACTGTCATTCGGGTACCGACAGGGGATGTTTTGTATCACATTTCAGAGGCGGGGTCCACTGAAATCCACTGAAGTGCCAGCTTGTAAGATAATTACAGTGTTGCTGCCACGCGCCAGTGAAAAGATTGAAAAGGGCCGACAAATAAAGTCGATAAATGATGAAATGTAGAGGCCAAGGCAACAGCTGCACGTCCATCTGGGTACATATGACAACCCTGAAATCGATTGTGATAGAATAATTACAGGAGAACTGGATAACAAAAAGACAAGCAGTCAACCTGGAAAGTAAAAAACAGAAGAAAAAGAAAAAAAGACATAGCAAACGCCATAGCCTTTTCACAAACTGGTATTGGAAACATTCTATCGACTCCCAGGCATTGCCTCCCTTTTTCCCTATTCCCTGAACCCTGTCCCAGTACCAGTGAATGTCCCCCATTTCTATTATGCTCCCTTGTATATAATCCCTTTTTTTTTGTTCCCAGTGTCCCGTCGTTCACGCAATACAAATGAAGACATAAGAAAAGAGGAGAGAGACAAAAGGAAAACAGGTCGTCATAAGAGAGAGTCGAGGTCCGAGAGACAGACAGGAGATCTAGTGGAAGGCCGCAGGGGAAACGGCAAGAAAGAAATAACCCGAAAACCATAATCCAACATGCACGAAGAATGACGTAAACAAGTGAGAAAGAAACGCCGAAAATATGCTACAAAGGGGTATGGTGACGGGAAATGATATAAAAAGCCAGATACGCGTTCGTGAAATAGAAAATCATGGCAAAAAAGAAACAAAGAGAGAAGAGACAAGAAAAAGAAACAACAGAAGAAGAAGAAAAGGGGAAGAAAGTGAGGCACTTGAGAAAGAGTTCATTGAGCGCGACTGCAGGAGCCTGCATATCGTCGCAAGAAGGGGAAGGTCGTGTCAATTGCGTTGCGTTGCATTACTCGCTCACATCGCCAGGGTCGTCCCAGGTGTTCAAGTCCATGTCACGTTGGTCCAGGTTACGAAGCGGCCAGGCCAGACCCATCTCTGACCGCACGTCGCGCTGAATCTGCGTCAAGTAGCGCTGCAGAGACCGCAGGCCATGCAAAAAGCCACGGTCGACGTCCGACGGGTGCTGCGGCGGGCACGGTCGATTCTTGACAGCGTCAGCCTCAATCACGCTGTTGGCAAAGTCGGCCATCTTGAAATCGATCTCGCGCTTGTCCCGACGGCGCTGGCGGCGGCGACGCATAATCTCGTCGCGGACGGACAGGTCTTCGTTGTCCGTGGCGAAGTCCGTCGTCGAGTCTTCAATGGCCGTGTCCTCGCCGCCGGTCAACGCGCCGCTGCCGTCGTCCCTGTTGCTCTGGTCGCCGTCGTAAAAGACGAGAAGACTCGCAGCGTAGAAACGGTAGCCGCGGAGGCGACGGATGATTTTCTCCAGCTGCCTGAGCTTCTCGAGCATGGTTGGGATGTGCCGCAAAATGCTAGAGAGGTCGGAACCGTCGTACAAAAACTCCCGGATGACGCTCTTGAACTCCTGGCCTGCCTTGACGTTGCGGCCAAAGTACTTGTCGTGGTAGATGTAGTTCTCCAAAGACGCGTTCCACACCTGCATACCACAGATGCGCACACCAAGCTCACGCGATGTAGTGTTTGCGCATTTGCGCTGCTGGGAGAGCTGTTTCTTGGGGCTGGCTTCGACACCGTACTGCCGGGTGCCCATCTTGAGATCCATGATGCATGGTCGTTTCATGCCCGCCGTAAGATCTTCCAAGAGCAAAAAGTACTCCTGCCGAGACCCGGAGTGCGTCTTTGCTTCTTTGGGGTTGATGGGCCGCGGGATTTTCCTAAACTCGGACGGGCTGCCGGCCAAGGCCATAGCAGTCGAGTTGGCTAGGAACGGCACAGGGCCTTGCACAGGGGTAGCCTCGGCTGGAGCATCCATCTCAAGCTGGTGCGACAGGTTGCTGAATCCGCGATTGCTATGCTGCGGCTTCTTAATGTCCATGGCAGAAATCGTGCTATGATTCTCGGTCTTGTCGCCAGCTTCGGTGGGATGGTTTGCGATCTCGTGACGGGCAAAGCGGTCTTCAAATGCAGCCAAGGCCATCGAAGCGTTAAAGGACGACCGGCTGGTGTTTGTCGTCGTATTCGCGGTGGTCATGTCATCAATGTCGGCCTTGTATGCAGCCTCATCAGCTCCTTCGTAGTACTTGAGGTCACCACGGGGGTCAGTCACATTCTTAGGCTTGCGCCGCAGGCCGGTGCCAGAGTAGCGACGTCTGCGGTGCAACGGCCGCAGCTGGTCGACAAAGTTCTGTGCCTCGGGCGCACTAGTACCGGTCACATCCTTTGGACTTTCGACGTCATCGACAACAGCCTCGTCATTCAGACTCTTCACCACGGGCCCCATGTCGCTCTGCGTGAGCATCATAGACGCAGTGGGCACAGTGTCGGTCTTGAAAGGGTTGGCGAACTGGTTCTTTTGGGCAGCATCGGCGCTGGCACGGCGCTCGCGTTCGGTAACCAAGGTTGACTCTGAATTGGACGGGCGCAGGACGTGCTGCTGAAGGATCTTCCGCGGAACTGCGCGCGCCGTCTTGCCCTTTTGGTACTTTTGAACATCCACCGGCTGCTTGAGAAATGCATCGGTAAAAACCTCGTTGCGCAAGCGCTTATTCACCAGCGTGGCACCCCAGCTGTTCAAGTGACGACCTTCCAGGGTAGGACGGGTAGCAGTACTACGCGCAGGAGGCCCATGCAGTACAAAGTCCTGCTGTTCAGCACCGCCAACTGCCCTTTGCAGGTGCTCTCTAAGCAGTTTGTTTTCGGCGGTTGTGGTAGCAGATTGGGAGCCCCGCGGCGTGTTGTTCGAAGACGCGCCGTTTGGCTGTAGAAGATGGCGAGGAAGGATGTGCTGATTATCAATGAAAGTGACTGTCGGTACCTGTGTCTGCGAGTTCTGGATGGATTGACTGATGATTCTGGTGGTCGTCGGAGCGGCAGAGGTTGCTATAGCTGCATCGTCGCGAGCGGTCGAGGACGACTCTGTGTTATTGTCCTTGACAACAGCGCTAAGCTCGCCTTGGCCAATTTGTTTCAGTTCAGCGGCAGCCACATCGTCCTTCTTCATTGTCGACTTGCGCCGAGGCTTCTTGTGGAACGTCACATTCAAAACACCAATGTACCTATCGTAGGTCAGCATGATCATTTGGTGAAGGGCCAGGGAATTTGTAACAAAGAATACTCACCTGGGCAGGAAAGGGAGCAGGTCTCTGTGGTACCGCTCAATCCGCTCGTAAAACTCATTTTCTCGGTTGGTCAGTTGCTTGCACACGGCCCGCTTGGAAAAGCGCCACAAAGTAGTATGGCCGCCGACTTGGTGTTTGTACGGGATCAGCTCGATAGCGTCTCGCGGCTGGCTAGGCTCGGGCTGAGTATCAACGTCAGGCTCCTCAAAGTACTGCGACATGGGTCGCGACGGCATCTCCACCGCCGTGTCGGCGCTGTCAGACACAACCGGCTCGGGCTCCTCGCTTGGTGTAACCGGATGGGATGCAATTCGCGCGGCATACTGATGGTCGCTGTGAGACATCTGCCGGCGGATCTTGTTGCTAAATTCGGGAGACAGGTTCGAAGAAGGGACGGGTGTTGGGTGAGCCACGTCGTGCTCGGTCGTCGTGCTTTCACTCCGCCATGTGCTGAAGGTTTCCCGGTTTGGCTGCAGAGCCCCGACCGAGGACGCGGGAGCGGCGATCGCTCCATTCGGTGTGCTTCCCAGTGGTGGCGTCTCTGCGCCCTCTTCGACGCTCTGATGGGGAACAAACAAAGCCGATATCTTTTCTTCGCCCGAGTCGTCGCCGTCCTCGGCAGCCACCGCTGTATCGGCGCTGCCGTCCGACTTGTCACCCGATTCCCGCCGGCTATTCGTGCGTCGCTTTGTCGTCAAGGCGGCCAATGCGTTTCGCGAGTCAGTATCGGTGTCATCTGTAGAGGAGTGTGTCGCACGCGAACGGAGTGCTGAACCGGGTTGCTTCGAGATCGGAATCGCAATCGGTGGCCTGTCGCCGGATGCCCCAGATGCTGGTGCCGCGGGCAACGTCGGAGTCCGGTCCGGCCGGCCTGGGGCATGAAAGTAGTCGCGGGATGAAGACCGGTCTGCGCCTGGAGACTGAACAGAAAAGTACAGCGGTTGGTCCGGCCGCACAGAAGGATCGTTGCCAGAAATCTGCTGTTTGGCGTCACGCAGGACGACGACGAAATCGGACGACGTGGGATAGTCGTTGTGGGTGGATGTCGAGGATGCAGAAAGGATGGACGAGGAGGAGAGCTGCTGTTGGCGGCGAGGGGAAGGCGTTGGCGTCGAGCGTGCCAAGGGAGGTGCCGCCACAGTTGCTACACGTGCAGTGGCCAGATTGGATGTCTGCAAGGCGTCCGCTTCAGGTTCTGTTTGGTCGGACGGATCTAGGCCCCCATTGTGGCATTGGGCAGCCTTGCAGTCGGGTTCCGAGGAAATGGCACGGTCGTGACGAGTCGTGGTCTGTGGTAGTAGCTGCAGCTTTGGCTGTGATGTAACCGATGTGGTTGTGCTAGAATGGCGGTCGGCATCGTCGAGATCGAGGTGGCCTGCAGGCTCTTCAAAGGACAGCTTGCGGTCGTCGATCTGGTGCCGAGGTCTGCTGCTTTCCAAGCTGCCAGTACTCGACGCGCCGAGGTGGTGATCACCGGCACTGGCACTGCTATGTGCGCCGTAGTCGGCCGGGCGTCGTTCCGCTGCCATCATTGCGGTCTGCTGCGAACTGGCCGCCCGAACAAGTTCGAAAGTGGCAAAGTTGGCAGGTATTCAGCAGCAGACGGTAGAGGGGGCCGAAACCACCGTCATGGAGCGTCCTGCAATTGCTCGCCGTAGAGGGGAAAGGATGGAAATGGGAGGAAGAGAGGAAGATAAGAGAAATAACAAAAGAGAAAAGAAACTACAAGAACGAGAAAAGACAGGAACAAATAATAAAGAAAATAAAGCCCCCTTAAGCTGCACAACAGAATACGCTCAACGTTTACAAGGGCAAACACAATGGCTCGGTTGTGGGTGGATTGGAAGAATGGGCTTCTTTTGGGTCGTGAGAATCGTGGTCGAACACGAGCGGCGATTTGCAGATGGCGAAAATGGACTTGGGAGAAAAGGCACTGTTGACAAAGGAGGGGTGGGAAAAACAAGTGCGAAGTGCAAGCACAAAGTGTAAGGCAGGTGCAGGGGTGCGATAGTCGGAAAACGGTATGGGTTCTTGCGGTGGGATTGGTCGCACTGGGAGGCAAGAAAAAAACAAGGGAAAGGGCGACCGTGCGGAGAAAGACGAGCCACCGTTTCGTCAGTGAGTGAGTCGGTAGTTGTTACGTAACGCAACACGTGGGTCTAGTGGACGTTTGATTGCTGGCGGTGGTGACGCATCAGGTGCTGGGCACGTTGGGCAGGCGCAGACGGAGACCGATTTGGACACAGGGCGGACAGACAAGTAAATGCAAACAAAACTGTTACGGCAAGTACGATGTACAGAAGACGACGTGGATTCAACATTCCACAAGGAAGGCGTGATGGGGCACCGCGAACGCACAAGTGCTTGTGCGGCGCCCAGACACACAAAACGGAGCAGGAGCGACCGGCGTGGTGAGGACAATCGCTCTCCCTGCGCCCTACACATTCGCAAACCTCCCACATTGTGCAAAACCGGAAGGAACTTTGGCTCCGACAGCCATATCTCTAGTCTGCGCCTTCCCAGAGGCCAGTGCCTGTAACCGCGAAGACACTTGCACCTGATATGCCGGTCGAGGTCAAGTGACGTTTTCCTCCTGTTTGAACTCCTCTTCCCGTCTCCTCTCTCCGCAGTCCCACTGTGTTTGTTCGGTAGCGGTACAGCAATTACGTACGGAGGGCCGAGTTCAAACGCAAGCATTGACTGCCGTCCGGGTTCGCAGTGTCCTTTTTTCCATAGATCGCCCTTTCCCCTTTTCCAAATTACTAGCCAACAGCCGTTTTAGGAAACAACAGTCAGGCTAACAGACAGCAATGAGACGACTGCTCGTAACACTGCCAGTTGTCCTACGACAGGGAGAAAAAGTAATACGACATGGTTCCGATAAGAAACAACAAAAAAACATTGTATTTTTCGCCCGCTGTTTTCGTGAATCTTTTGAGACAGGCAAGGGCAGGGAAAGCCTGATTCTTGGTGCGCAAAGCCTTACTTTATTCCGAAGCAATCATTGCGCCACGTGATCACGTGCGGCGGCTAGCGCAGGCGCCAAGCAAAATTTGATCTGTAATCACCGAAATAGGCATCGCGCGCTGTTTCCCATCAACAGACCATTCGGTGCTGTTATCGTCTCATTGCCAGCGGAAGCACAAAATCGCTGGCGTTGTGCGGCCCGTCTGGCCAGGCCACATCGTGGGAAATCGCATGAACGATGCGGTGTATGCAACGATATCCAGCCGCGCTCAACAATTGCCTCACTGCTCGGCCCGCGGAAAGCATCCGTCGCAATTGGACATAGTTACAACCGACAAATCGTGGACTCGAAGCTCAAAAGGAGGGCAGGGAGGACACCGTATCTCTCCACCGCCCGGCCGTCATGATAAAGGAAAACAGCTGCATAGCATGAGCAAGGGAATGCACGAAAGAGGAGCCAGTGTAAAGAAGGGCCCAGCCGCCATGCAGCAACGCCAAAACGGTGCATCAGAAACAAGCCATAGCCAGCTCAGCGCAACGACAGCGCAGCAGGCGCAGGCCAATCAAGCCGGAACGTGCCCTTGGGATTCATCTCGTCTTGTCCATTGCGGACCGCCGCCCTGGCCCAATTCCAAGCCAAACCCCAGATCTGGTGTATGCGGCAGGACGATGGCTTTGGGTGGTAAAGGAGTAAGGCAGTGCAGCGATGTCTTGTCATTGTTGCTTCTTTGTTCTTGCTTGTGGCCCACTCGGCCCTTTGTTCTTGAAGCTTTCCCCAGTCTCGGGAAGCTCGCCCGTGGTCTTGGTCACTGGCGATCATTCCACGGTACTTTTCCATCGTCTTGTTTATTTTGTGCTTGTTTTTCTTTTTTTGTTTCATTGCAAGGTGTCCTTCTTTCACCTTTCTTGTGTAGCATCAGCAACCAGGCCCTGCGCGTCCTCCCTGCTCGTCATCGTTATCATGCTTCATCCCTTGTTGCACAGAACATCTCTTGGCTGAGATATCCAAGCACAACACGGCACGTCCCAGCATAACTGGTTTCGCATTTGTCCCTTTTTCCAGGTCAGTTTTTTTTTCTCGACGGCAATTGCTCACGGCCGGCTCGTGCTCCCTGTCAAGCCATTTATCCCGCATCGTCCTTAAGGCGGTGACATGGGGCTTGGTATGCATCTACGTGACGGATGCCCCAAGAAGATGCACCGAGCCGACGACTTACAGCCCGTGGTCAAGGTGGCCTCGAGTTTATTCAGCTCCGTCAGTTCTCATAAAATAGTGCAATGCATCCGTTTAACAGCCCCATATCCCGCATCCCCGACTTCTCTTGCTCTTGTTCGGCTGAGACTCGACAAAATACCAAGACATGTACCAAGACATATGCATATGAACAGGGGGATGTGATTGCAGCTCGCGCCAGAACATTCGGGTCTTCCTTTGGTCCCTTGCTGTTTTCCTCCTTCTCTTTCATTTCTTCTTGAAAATTTTCAATCCTGTGGCATCCGATTGGGTATCGAGAAAAGGATTGCATCCAGGCTCGAGAAATCTCTATCCCAGTATATGTGAAATTTGTCGACTGTTCCATATTTGCGTCGTTTCTTCGCTTCGTTCCTCACGCCCTGCTCTTGCTTGTGTTCACCGCTCCGTTTGTCATTGAATCCCTTTTTTTGCTCCTTTTCCTATCGTCCAAGGAGAGCTTCTACTTTGGCCATGTGCGCTTTTTTGCGTCACCTCAATGCATCGTAGAGACATCAAAGCAGCTGTCCTAATAATACATGCCAAGAGTCAGCAAAGGGGCAAAACCCCAACAGATAATAGACGAAACGACAAACCTCTAACGGAGACCAGACAACAAGAGTGTAGACACACAATATCCACCCCATGACGAGCGTTCCGTCTTCCCCGGTGGGAACCGTGGTCGAAAACAGGGGGGCAAACCAACGACCGGAACGGCCATGGCAAGAAAGACAGCCTATCCTATGGCATTTTTTTGCGTGTGCTCTTCAATTTTTGTTCTTCAAAACCCCTTGATTGCATTCGGTTTGTTTAGATGCCAACGATCAGAGACTATGTACAGCCGTCGGTGAAGAAACGGTGTACTAAACGGTACTACGAGGCACGTGGGTGACTATCGGCACTTGACGCGCCAACGCCACTTCTCAGCCTCTTACTAAGATCGCTTTAAACAACAAACTAAAGGCCAAATATGGACGAGGCCAGATTCTCAACCACCGACAATCTACAACGTGCTCTTAAGATTGGTGATCGAAAGGGTTCTACAAGATTGTAACTGACTTGTGAGAAATGTAAACATTTACGTTGCTTTGTTTACAAAAATCGTCAAGTTCACGTCAAGTATTATTTTACTCTTATTTTTATTTTTATTTTTATTTTCGAGAAAATGGAATATAAATTACGTATAAAAAAATTCGATCACAACAACTTCTGTGATTAAAATAGAATGGCAACTTGTTACATCATGTTGATGGTTATAAGTGGCTATGTAAAGGTGATGCTACACGCACTACTGAGTCTTTATAGCTTCTGAAAGAAGTCCACAGTGTGAAAATACTAAACTTGTAATTCACAGATTGTATGTTATACACGTGATTGAAATGCAAACCTAAACATGCCCTCCTGAAATAAATGCGCCTCTGCCTAATGATATTATTTTGTCAATCTACACGCCGTGTTCACGTCCCTTTACATCCTGCCGGCACGCGCTTCAGCGAGCTCGGCGTCCATATCCCATAAGCCCAGAAAGTCATCGAGGTTGTCCATAACGTCTTGCACAGCGTCCACAGCCGACGCGGCATCGTCGTCTCGACTGTCATTGTCGTCCCTGTGCTGTTCGGCCTCCCCGCTTCGCGTGGCGTTCTCCTTATTATCGCCGCCATTTGCACTGGGCACCTTATCGCCAGAGTGCGACACGATCGATTGATGACGCGACTGCCCGGACGGTATCTGCTGTAGTTTGGACGTTTCCGCATCCGCTTCCTGGAACCGGGATGCCATGGCATCGACGGACGGACTGGTGTACAGCTCAAGATCCGGCGCTGGGTCTTGTCTCTTTGAAATTGTAATAGGTTGAACCTTGGCGACGCCGGTGTCGGCAGTCGCAGACCGTGCTTCGCTTGCCTGTGATCTTGCCATTATAGCTGCCCGTTGGCCTCTTGTCCGGCCGGCCATTGTTGCGTAGTGTCCCTTGAACCGGTCGACCTCTGTTGGGAGAGACTCCATGAGCACCTTGTCTTGTGGAGGAGGCGAAGCGGCTCGTTGTGGTCCTCGGAATGCTCCGTCGCTTTGTTCTATCGAGGCAGAGGTTGCGGTTCCGCCAGGAGTCTCGTCCGCGGGCGCCGCTGCTTCGTCCCCGGGAAGAGAGAAGTGAACACGGCGGCCACATTTGCTGGTGCTGGCCGTTGCTCCCGATCGCCGGCGCGGCTGACGAAGAATCGACCGAGGGCCCCCTACCTTTGCGCTCCTCCGTCGAGGTGGTGGCGTTGGCGTCGGGGAGCGGAATCTCCTAAAGGACTTGATCGACACGGTCATGTCTGGCGTGGGGAGGCTGGATTGCTTCGTGTCCGGCGTAGACGGTGCGGTCCCAGAGGACTGAGCGATCGGGATGGGTAGAGATGGTAGGAACGTTTCCGTATCTTGCTCGAGGCCTTCCTTCTCGATTGGTGGTAGGACAGGTGTTTCCCCCTCTGGTGAGCATGGAGATGTAGGCAGATTGGATGTGGAAGATGAGAACGAGGCGGCCGCAGTATTCACGTCCGCCCATGGATTTTGACTGAGAGAGATGCTCGGCCTGCCGGTTTCGTTTGCGCTCGCTTCTGGTTCGTCTGCTTCGACGTCTGGAGATGGAGGATCTGGCCGGACAGCAGCAGCCACTGGAACAAGAGTCTGAGTCTCTCTGGACCAAGGGCTCTGGGCTGTCACAGAGCTTGTAGCCTGGCTATCGTTTTGAGCCTGGCTATCGTTTTGAGCCTGGCTATCGTTTTGAGCCTGGCTATCGTTTTGACACTGGACAACAGGGTCGGCTGAGCTGTGAGCAACCATATCGCCGACCATGGTGTTTGATTGAGCCTTTGCCCATGGACTTTGATCCTGTGTCGCAATCCTTGCGTCCACCATCTCCGTGTCGTAGGTTACTGTCGAAACTGTTGTCGTTTCGCCTGCCACAGAATCCATAGCACATGTTGTTGAGGTCATGTCGGCAAAGTTGCTAGTATTTTGCTTATCCGGTATCTCGTCTGACGGTTCGGCTGGTTCTCCGTCGTGGACATCATCGCTCGGTTCCGATGCATCAATTTCAGTTCCACCCGTGGCAGGTGGGTGAGGCTCGCTTGGCATTAGTCCATTTACCGACTTTGTGCTTTCTTGCTCTGCCGGCCGTAACGTCGTGTCGTCGCCAAAGGCTGCTGATGCGTCATCCCCGACGAGGTTTGTTGTTTCAGTTGTAGTTGTCTTTTCGGAAGAAGCAGGAATTTTTGGTAATAATCGCTCAGATCCGATATGACTGCTCAAAAAGAGATCGGACGGAAGTACCGACATAGAAGGCTCGCTGTCTGATATGTGGGACACCAGCAGTTCAGTACTGGCCAGTCTTTGACTCGGCGCGGCGTTGTAGCTGCCTCCGACAGCTTCGTCGGCAGCTGTCGCGAGGGCGTCTCGGGACGGACCAGACGTGGGTCGTGCCAGGTCTGGCGTCTTGGGTGCGGCTGCAGCCTTTGCCGAGCTCGCTGCTCTGGTGGTTCGCGAAGCGGACGGCGAGGCGACCAAAGCATCATCATAGTTGGGTTTCAAGCGCTTTAGGTTCGTTCGCCGCAGCCAGTTGCTATCGGCTGCCCGTTTCTTGACTTCTGGGTCTTTTTGGGTTGTGACGGTGCTCGGTGTCGTTCCTAAGTCTGTGCTCGATGCAGACGTGGCGACTGGCGCAGTAGTTTGTTTCCGGCTGCCGACACTGGGATCGGACGTCGATGCTACTAAGGGTTGTTGCGTCTTGGTCGAACGAGGGACGACCTTTGTGCCAACCCTGCCCCCTTTCCCTCTCCAGGGGTTTTCCCAGCGCGTCTTTCTGCCAAACGGTCCCCTTAATGACGCTGAGAGAAGCCGAGGTCGGCGGCCTTCGAGAAAAAGCCGTGCCTGCTCCTCGAGACGTCGGCATCGTGCGCCAGGGCTGTTGTAGTACTCATCGTCGGAACCGGACAGTAACACGTCGTCCATACCGAGTGTCGATTCGCCGCACAGCAGCTTGTCTGCAAAGATCGGGAGATGTGGCCGGTTCGACTTGTTCACAAGCGGCCGCCGGGCTGCCGTGTGCCGGCCAACTGTTGCGGCTACCTCGTCCATATTGAGCAGATGTGTTCTCGCGGTGCACCAGGCTCGCTGTTGGATGTTCTTGTCATCTGTGCTGCTGTGACGGTCACATTTGGCGTGATGTGCTGGATGCTGCTGCGTGGAGGCATCGAATCTTGTGACTGTTTGCCTGGGAAATTGTGAGCTTTGATCATTCCCCTGTGGGGCTGGTCGCACCTCCCTGTCGCGGTAGCAACGCGTCTAAGACGCGCTCCTTCCAAAATCAATTAACGCGTGTCACGTGGAAAGTCTGCACAATTCTATCACCACAGACTCTCTATCACACTCCAAATACGCGAAGATTGAAGAAGATACCATGAGCTGGACCAGATGCAATTGTAGGGCCCAATTGCATGTTTTGGGCTCGTTTGCAGGTGCACGGCTTTCAGTGCCTTAATGGGGCGATTGTGCTGTTCATGATGTTGTGGCTGACTGTGGCTGACAGTGGATCGCATGTGGCTTGAGCTTACATACATAAAAGCGGGGCATATGTTGTCACAGCAACCGCAAACATGTTGATCGATTTTCCCGATTAGGAAACCACCGTCCAGGGCACATGGACAAGACGCGCGCGCTGCGTTTTCTTCCTCCACGCCAGAATCCACAACGCCAAACGTCAACGTCAGTGACTACGACTGCTGTGTGCTGCAGCCCACAGCCTCTACGATAGACCCGACAACTTCGATCCTTTTATTTTATCCTGCTTCGTTGCTTTCGACACCCTGTTCTCTTACCGGGCATATCTTATCGCTGCCCTGCTTGGTTTGGGCTTGTGCAAACAATCGAACGGCACCATCACCAAAAGACCATAGCCGCCAACGCACCACCACCTCTTTTGCATCTTCTGCCAATTTGCGCTCGCTCCCATTCTAGTGGCTCAAAATATCTTTGCCTTTTTGCCGGTGCCGAAGCTGTCATGGCCTTGCGGTAGGACGCGTCTATTCCCCGACCATCACGATTATCACGTTCTCGGCTACGACGACGACGAACTTTCCCCCCTCAGCCGACATTTTCATTCCCGCGTGACAAACACCCCCACATCATGGCGAACGCCTGGCTTGACTCTTTGTCCGAGGACTGGGTGTCCCAGGCCGGCTCGGAGCCATCGCACTCGCCCACCCATACAACAAAATTTACCAGCAAAACAAACAGCACAACGCCCACCTCGCGGGGCAGCAGCGGACGTCTCTTTGGCTCGGTGCGCCACGGCCATGACCTCTCGCCTGCCAACAGTAGCAATGTTCTCAGCGAGCGGAGCGCCAATGATATCAACATCTTTGGCTCAAATCGTCGGCCATCCCCCTCCAAGCTCTCGAACGAGTACAAAGTACAGGACGTGCAGCAGCTGCAGTCGCGCCGCGGGCCATCACAACGATCTGTGTCTGCCTCGTCTCTCGGCTCCGTTATCCATAACACCGTCGACCACAAGCCTCACAGTGTGTCGCCCGGCAAGGGTGGCGGAGACACGCCTGAGTGGCGGCGAAGACTTGTCCAGGGTGATTTGGCCTACGGCGAGCAGCGTGATCTCTTCACATCTGCCAAGTTGGGGCTTGAAAATATGTTCAATCCACCAGGTTCAACGACACCAGACGATGTTTCTGTGGTGGTAGAAGAGGTGCTTGAGGATGATGATGTCTACGAACCACATGACTGCTATCAGCAACACACAAAAGAAGATGCACTGGCATTGGATGACGAGGAGCAGGACGACGAGGAAGAGCGAGAAGATGATGGAGGGTTCCAAGAAGGGCGGCGGATAACCCACGACGTGACAATGCCGTCTAGTCCACCGGTGCATGCCGTGCCGTACGACTCGTCAGCGAATTTTGACGAGTCTGCCGCCCCACAGCTCCCCGAACAACCACGCTGGCACGCCCTGGACCCGGTGATCGAAGAGTCTGCAGCCTATGAAGAGGAGCTGGGCGGTGAAGACAATGCTGAAGAGGAAGAAGATGGGCGAGACGGACGTGTGCAGCGCCACTTCCAGGACACACCGAACGGGGTGGAGTCCATGCCGCCTTCCGATGGGAGCCAAATACGCTATCCGGTCGATGGCGGGTCACGAGCGGCGAGTGGCCAGAGCGTGCTCCGTAACGAGAGCTTCAGCGCGATTATGATCTCACCTGAAAAGAACAAGGACGGTGCCGTCTTTGCCCCGATGGAGCTGCCTTCGTGCGAGCTCAAGAGGCGCCTGGAAAATCTTCGCTGGAATCAGATGGTGTTGGCCGATGACGTCGAGCAAGCCGCTGCCGCAGGGAACCGGGTCGTCAGCATTGGAGGAAAATCTCTCAACGTCGACAACACGGAGGAATACGACAAGATGGGTGGTTTCATCAACTTCCGGCGGGGTGGACGCTCAGCTGACGGCTCATTCCGCGACCGCATGCTGAGTCCCCCGATGGGCAACGACACGTCCGAGCTGCTGCCGGAAGAATCTCTTCAAGCAAGCACACCAAAGCAGTTCGCATCCGTTCGTATCGATATTGACACAGTCGACAGCCGCCGTGGTCCCGAGGTTCCTCGTGTGCCCAACCCGAGCCCCGAAAAGCGCGGCAGCCTCTCACGGCAGCAACTGCAGCAGTCCGGCGGCGGTAGCCCGCTCAAGCTTTTTGGCCCCTACGACACATTTACAAACCAAACCTTGATGCGGCGCATCAGTCAGTTCGAAGACCAAATGTCAAACGGCTCTCGCAACTCAGCCGATCGTTCAGCAAACCTTGGCGTGGACGGTCCTTCTCATACCGAAATGGCGCAGGCATTTGTGGCAGGAATCCAGAAGTCAGAATCGCGCCAGTCGTCTGCGCAATTTGGCGCTGGAGAGCTGGACGACTTCCAATTTGGAGGCGATGGCGCTTCTCATCTGCCCGCGGATCAGACTGTGGATGAAGGCACACATGCCGACCATGAGGAGAGCAAATCGACACATGCCGATGACGTGTTCTCTCCCGTGCTCACCGAAAAGAAGCAAGATAATCTTCACATTCAGCGGATGCGCCAGAGCCGCGGCGCCATGTCGAGCCGGCCGAGCACAGCTGAGAAGCGGACCGAGCCGGCGGACCATGCTGCTTCCTTGGGCAAAATCCCTGTTTTGGCGACGCCTCGACGGGTTGCTGAAATTGGCTCGGAGGGGAAGCGCCCCCGGACATCGCCATCCAAGGACCCAACACCAAAACGGAGACGGACGCTGCACAAGTCTGACGTTGCCTTCGGCTTCGAAGCGTCACAGGCATCCCAGACGCCGCTTGATTCGGTCCAGGCATCACATACTACCATGCAGTCTATTATTGGGCGAAAGCGCAGAGACGCGCGTGATGGCGACGAGTACCAGCACGCCGACCCCGAAGTCCTGGCCAACCGCGACATCCTGCGGCCTCGTACGCCGACGCCGAGCCAGCGGTCCTCTGTCCTGCGGGAAAAGAATTCCGATCTCAGTGCCGACGAGAATGGATACAACCGTACGCACGATCGCACATATGACCTGAGCAACAACGACCGCCAAGGTGACGGCTTCGGCGGTGACCATGACGCTAGAGGCTCGTCTGCAGCCTGGTCGGACAACTCAGTCAGCGGTCCCCATATGCGTGCCGATGGTCCAGGGGTCGACGTGGAACGCAAGCCCTCTATTGCGACAGAGGACTTTCTGAGCGAGGCCCAAATGATTATCAACATGTGCCGGAACCGCGGTGTCGGCGCGCAGGGCGGCCTTGCTAGTGTGGACGAGTCGGAGATGGAGACGCCCGTGGCTGCTCCGGCCTCGGAGGAGGACGAGGTGTCATTCCAGGAATCGACAAAGGAGCCCTTTTCGCGCCCACCGAGCCGTGAGGGCAAGCCGGTGCCGCGTGCGGCGCGGATGCAGGAGGACCCGGAGATCCTGGCACGGCTCAAGAAGTACGAAGAACGCAGCGACCTGGGCGACATCGTGACGACTACCACTCGATCGATCAATCTTGCGCAACATGCAATCCGGGCGGAGAAGGAGGCTGCACAGGCGGTGCAGGACAGCATTGCCATCCGCAGCCGCACGCGACTGCACGGGAGTGAGGACATCAGCGATCCGCCAAACATTCGCATCTCGATGCGCCCCCGAGACGAGTTTGGCGCTGGTGTGCACGACGACAACCCGTCCCAAGCTTCTCAAAAATCGGCCTCCTCTGGACACTCCACGGTCAGCTCGATTCCAACGGGGTCGTCTCGCGGCTCAGACACTAGGAAGACGATCGCTCCTCAGACAGTATCCCACTTGATCCCCGACCAGGTCGGCAACATGATGCTCGACCGTGACCGCAACATCTGGATCAAACGGCGGAACGGAAGCGGCGGCAGCGTCCAGAACACGCAGCACATCCCCAGCCTGCGTGATGCTCCGAGCATGCATAACATTCTGCCTTCTGAAGGAAGCGAGGAGGACCCCTTTGCAGACATCCCCGATTTAAGCGTCGATGCCACAATGGAGCTGCACAACCTCAAGCCAGCGGTGGCCAGCCCTATGAAGTCTACTGGTCCCGTTCTCTTTACGAAGTCGAACTTGTCTCTGCCAAGGCCTAGCACAGGCGGCGCTTCCAATGGCACTGAGCCGACTCAGTCGCCTGTGGTTGTTGTGAGTGAGACAGACAACGACACGATTGTGGAGCACGAAATCAGTATCGACGAGGGCCGCCTTGGGCACTCATCGTCGCCGACCCGGTCGAAGCGAAACCTCGCCATCAGCTTCTCGTCTCCGATAGCGTCGATTATTCAAGATTTTGTGGTGGGGGACGACAGCGAGTCACGAATGGACCGCAGCCCGGACGAATCCCTCCAGAATGCGGCGGCCGCATCTGCCCGGCGTGGCCGGCGAACGGTGTCTGTGAAATTTACGAGCACAGCCAGCGGCGACCATGGAAGCAGCAACAGCAGCAGTCTTCGGTCTCGCAGTGCCTCGCGTGGGCCGGCCCGGAAACTTTCCGTGGCCGGCCAGGCGTTTGTTCCGCGTCCCGTGTCGCGCATCGACGAGC